GGAAACTAAGCAGCATGTCTGGGACCGTGTTCGTGAACATAAGGCAGATCTGAAACACGGTAGGACCAATACTTCGGCCATGGCTGATCATTGTAACGCTGTGAGCACACATGAAATTGATTTTTCCAAGATGAAGGTACTCTGCAAACCTACTGGCTATCAACAAAGATTTGTTCATAAAGCCATCCAGATATATAAACACAGACACAATTTCAACCAAGAAGATGGGTACAAAAAGAGCAATCATTGGAAGGACGTTATTAACCAGTTTAAGTCATAACTGGCTGTAATGTTTCCATCCTACCTGCCAATGTTAGCAGTTATTTCCGACTCTCTGAGTTACATTACCAGGTTAAATGTCTTTACATTAACAGGCTAAATGTCTCACGAACACAGCCATGGCTGCTCCTTTCTCTCGATGTGGCGGTGGTTCTCGTGTTTTAACAGGCTTAATGTCTCACTAACACAGCCACCATTGCGGTGGTTCGCTTACAATGAAATGCTAATCTCTCAGAATACAATGGCCACCTCCACAACTTCGGTGGCACCCTCCGATCTTACATTTACATGCAAATCTCATCTCTAGCCCCGCCCACTTACCCTTGGGCTACACCCATCTCAAACTTATATAACATCCTGTTTCAGCAGCTCTCCCGCTATATTTTTTCCTGCCTCAGCAGCTCTCCCGCTATATTTTTTCACTTGATGACGATTGCTTGTGTTGCGATCGAAACGTCGTGATTTTTTTTCTATCTACGTGGCTTTATTGAAAGACCCAAAGAACATAATTGGGTATTTTTTTTCCTTATAAAGTCCCAATTATTTTCGTAAGATACGAGTTTATGGTATTCGGGGACTTTTAATTGAAAGTCGCTTATTTTTGCTTTCCACTTTCGGCCCCGCTTTCTCCTCTGAAGGCCCCGCCTCCCTGTTTGGACAACGCTCCTTTCTTGTTTCAGCCCCCATCACATTCCTATTTAGGCCCCCATCCCCTTCCTCTTTAGGCCCCGCACATTTATCTTAAGGTAACGCCTCCTTTCTGGTAAGGCCCTGCGACTTTCTGTTTATGCTCTGCCCCCTCTTCTTCAGGCACCACCCCCTCTCTCTGGAGGCTCAATCCCCTTGCTGCTAAGGCCCCGTATTTCCTCGCTTGGGCTCGTTTTTAAAGGCAGTGCAACTTTTGTCCTGTGAGACTTTGCAACTTTGCGCTGAAGCAAGTTGGCTTCAGTGAGACTGCGTGAGTGGATAGCGTACGTGTCAACCCCAAAGGGTTCAAATCGGTAAAACTACTGACAAGTCTTGGGAGAAACCCCAAGAAATGGAGGGAGGCCCAAGACATGGACGGGGAAACACAAGAAATGGCAGAGAAACTCAAGAAAGTCAAGAAACTGCGAGGAGAACCCAAGTAAACAAGATACCTCCCTAAACTGAGGTAGAAAGACGGAAAGCTGAGAGTAACCCAAGACACCGTGAGAGAATCCTAAGAAATTAAAGTAGCTGAAACAAAACCAGAGGAAATCTCACACTGAGGTAGAAGCCCCCAGAAACTGAGACAATCCCAAGAAACTGAAATCCAAGAAGAAGAAAAAAAGACATCCACAAAAAACAGGGAGAAGCCCAAGAGACGCGTAGGGAAACTCAAGAAACTGGGAGTGCAACTCAAGGAAGCTCAAGATACTGATGGAAATGAAAGAAGCTGCGCGAGAAATCTAATTAAAAAAACTATTTAGAGAATCTCAGGACACTGAAAGAGCAATTCAAGAAAACAGAGAAACCCATGAAACGGACGCATGCATACATTTCACTGTGACGCAGGCAAGGACGAGTCAGAAGAGAGGGGTGGGGGGGGGTACGTGCATAGGAGAAATATGATGTTCACCACTTAGTGGATACTCCCATTGTCAATGAACTAACAATGATAATCTTAATAATGTTGTATGGTAGTTTTTACGTTTCTCGCGTGTTCATCATAGAAAGGCTGTGCGTAAAGATGAAACTTATGGAGATGAGTATTATGTAAAACCTGAATCTGCGGAAGCTGCCAGTGCACTGTGTAATACTGACAACGGACTGTAGCCTAGTTATTAACCTGAGTGAGCGTACTGGCAGTCTATAATGTAGACTTATTCTGGTTCTTTCAGTAATACAAATAAAATAAAAACAAAAACCACGACGTTTCGTGACGTCCTCCAAATGGAAACCCCCCTCCATTTGTAAAGACAGTATGGAGCAATAGTGGGACAGTATGGTTCCCCAGGACCATGGTTACTAATGGACGTGCTAATGATGATTGATGAGACAAATGTTGACATGGTCACGTGAAGGGTAGCACGTGATCCAATGGCGGGGGAAGTGTAATTAGGGCGGTGAGTGATAGAGCAGGTGGGCGAGGAGGATTCGAGAATAGGGGCGTGGCCGGACCGGGCGAGGCTTAAGAGCCGGCGTGAGCTGGAACTGGTGGCTGTTGGTGTGGGGAATTACCGCTGTCGTCGTCGCCTTGGAACGGGTCGTCTCCATCGTCTGCGAGTTGTCTTGAGACTAGAAAATATGTTGTCTCTGAATAGAGTTGTCTACCTACCCCAGTGTATAGGGTCACTCGTGGTTACTCGTTGAGTTGTCAGTGGACTTTATTCGTAATAAATATACGGAAGACAAGACGGTGTCTCTGAGAGCTACATTACACAGTCAATAATTAGCGGCTGACATCACTCCACATGGGGGGCGAGGCGCCTCCTCCCCCCTCCTCGGCGTCAACTTACAACCCTCACTACAAAGGCAGAACCCTCACGTCACGCGATCTCTGTAATGCTATTGAGACATAGAAGTGAAAATTACATCATGGTGAACAAAATATTATAACCTTAAAATCAAATAAGCCTGTGTCACCGCGGCCTGACAAATTGCACATGAATGGATGCAATGAATATCACGTCGCGGTCTGCTTTTCGCTTGCAAGTTTCAGATTTACTGCAATACACCCGTCCTTGCACGGGAAAAGGGCTAGTTCGTTAATAACGCTGCCTTAAAGGAATCTATATATAAGTCAAACATTTTCTTTTTGTGGGTTTGTGTGTGGATTTGTGTGTGTTCGTGCGCTTGTGAAGAATTTGGCTCTCCAACGGTGGGGTTTATGTTAAATAAAAATAGCCAGGTACCACGCCGTAAGCCCCGCCATGAGCAAGCGCTATTCGTTTTTCACAACTTTAAATTAGTTTAATTGGCGATTTAGTGCGATTTTTACGTGCTATCTATTTATTTATAATGTGTGCACGACCATACCAACTCACGTGCCTTTGGTGGGGGGGAGGGCCCATGCCAAGTCGCACGCCTTTGGTGGCAGTGAGGGGACATTTTATTTCGCGTTAAAAATGCTATAAAAATACACTAAATGCTGAGCTTAAATCTTCACTGTGTGATGTCCCCCCCACCCCGATGCGTGCAGTTACTACTATACAGTAGCTAGATGCTACCACTATAGGCCGTAGATATTACTGCAGAGCGGCCGGGGAGATTGTGGCTGGGAGGGGTCAGGGGTAGCAGCCCAGCCCCAGCCTGCCAAGATGCCACCTCGGCCGGCTGGACAATCTAGGCGAGGCCGGAGGCTCTGCAAGGGACTAGGCCTCACTACGCCACTCTGTCAGGTGAGTACTTTGTGCTATAGAGTCGATAAATACTGCTATAGAGTCAGCGTGTACTACTGTAGTGATAGCAGGTACCACCACAGTCGGTATGCACTGCTGTAATCATAGCAGGTACCACCACAGTTAGTATGCACTGCTGTAATCATAGCAGGTACCACCACAGTCGGTATGCACTGCTGTAATCATAGCAGGTACCACCACAGTATGCACTGCTGCAGTGAAAGCAGATGTAACGGTGTTACGGAGCGAACGTACACCGTCTCCGGGTGGTACTTACCACTTACCATTAGGGGGCAGTCAACGGGCTGAGCCAGTACCAGGGGAGTATGGCCCAAGGGGCCAACAGTCAGATGGGAAAACGGATCCTGCGAGGAATGGGCACAGCCCCCAATTATGTCACCCCTCCAGAACCTGGTGGAAGGTTCGGGAAGGGAGGCGTAGCTAGGGCGGAGCAAGCCACAGCGCAGGATAAAAGGCTGGACCCCGGGAGGGTCCTGGGAGTGTTGCCAGCTGAAGATAGAAGAGCCAGTTGAAGACAGAAGACCAGCTAGCCAGGACCCTGGGACTCACCTGACCCACCGTCCTTATCAGGGCCGGGGCAGAGTGAGCCAGTGGTGCGACCCTGGAAGCCTCGGAGCCCGATGTCCTTATCGGGATCGGGTCCGTGTGGCTAGTGGTGGAGACCTGTACCTTGGCTGGGTCAGGTCAGCTGGCCTCCCCTAGGATCCCCTTAGCCGGGGGACCCGAGACCCTAGCCCAGGAGTAGGCGAGTTAGACCGTGGGCATACCACTCCAGGCAGCGGGTGAAGGGGCCCTTACCCCTTCAAGTAGAAGGCTGTATTGTGTTGTGTTAAGCCCCTTTGTAATAAATGATCGTTGCCTCTACCGATTCGTCTACGCTGTCTTAAAGAACCCACTACACAGGTACCGCCACGGTATGCACTGCTGTAATCATAGCAGGTACCACCACAGTATGCACTGCTGTAATCATAGCAGGTACCATCACAGTTAGTACGCACTGCTGTTAGATTAGTTTTGAAATATTTTTAAGACCCGGGCAATGCAGGGTATTTCCCGCTAGTAGTATATAATAGGTAACGTGTTGGGCAATGATCCTTTTGCATAGAGCATATGCCAATTGAGCTACGGCTGTGACTCATACTATACAGAAGAAAGAGGTGGCCACGCATGACCGGCAGATATTCCAAGAGCTAGGAGCTCAATGATTATTATTTGAGACGTGAGCCAAGCTTATCCCTTTCAGTTGTTTTCGCTCAAACATACGAACACGCAATGCAATGTGGATTCATATAGCGGTGTCCAAATGCGCCCGCATCTCAAGACGCTGCAAAGAAACAGTGCGCATATTGATTTTATTGAGCAAACGCAGTCAGTCATTGGCAGAGGAAAAACAAGGGTATGTTTGCATGAACTTAACAGCGGCAGTGAGTAGCACGCATGGCAGGTGGTGAAGAGAGTTTCAGACTATATGGCCAGAAGAGCAAAATGCGCGACCTCGCACTAAGCGAGGGAAGGTTGACTGGTGACTTCGGAGGTGGGATACAAAGCAAGCTCCGCCACGAAAGGGATCCAAAGGTCGAGTCGGTGTCCTTGTGGCACACAATGCTTTTAATAAAGCAGCGACACAAAGTTACAGAAACATGTATTTGTTGTGTGCTGATGCAGCCCACTCTTTAGGTTGCACAAGGCACCGAACGTTTTCGGACCTCTCTTGTACATTTAAGGAGTTGCTGTGGGGTTATTTTTTTTCTGGAGCATCCTTGAAAAGAGCTCCAGGTTTATAAATGTCCAAAATTTACAGCCTTATCGCGAGATCTTCTGACGTGGCCAGTGGCGTAGCTGTTGACAGGGGTGGTGGTGGTGGTGGGGGGGGGTGCAATTGTTTAATTTGCACCAGGGCGCATACGCACACCGCGGCAACGTCACTGGGAGGTCGCCTTAACAATAGCAGGCGCAGAGTGACGTGAACGCTGCCTGTGCGTTCCGTCGGCGTGGGTGAAGTGAAGTGGTCTCTCTGCCGAATATGAATCTTTTAAACAAAGACTCATATCGGCGATTTTTTTTGCTTAAACCGGAAAGCATACTGCGACACATCATCGTCACCTCCACGCCCGTCGGATGAAGCTCATTTGCACGAACTGATGAGTTGTAGAATTGCGACGCACTGTCATGCATCTGTCGCTCGCTAAAACACATACATCGTACACTTCAAATAACCTGTTCACGTGACGCACACTACTTGTTACGCCGCACGCGATCGGTGTTCAAACCCAATCTATATCCATCCTCACATCGCGGTAAAAAATATATTATGCAGCGCTTACAGTGCGTTACAACATACGTGTACTAACCGGGACATTCAAAAATCGGCAAGCCTCGTCGACTAATGTTTTGCAAATACACATACTTTGAAGTGTAAATTGTATACCTTTGGCACAGTGTAATAATGTAAGTGCTTTACACATGTCACGGCTATACCTTGACCATGGAGCGGTGCACAATATGACATTGCTGCAACAACCATCGATGCACGGAGCGCTAAGTGTCGTGGCGCTGTCGCGTCCGTGCGTGGTTGCGCAACAACGGTGGAGCGCCTGGCGGATCCAACTCGGAGCAAGGGTGGCAACAGTGGGGGGTGGTGCATCTTGCCAGCCACCACGGGCTGTTAACTCTCAAACATGTGGGGCTTTTCCCCGTGTCCTCGTGCCAGCGAGGCTTCGACTCTTGGCCTCAAATTGCCCCGAGCCTGTCACAAGCGCTGCGGTGACGCAACAGTCAACAACCTCTGTTTGAGCTGAGCTAGTGCACTATCTGATCGGGCAAAAGCACAAATTATAATGAACACCGTACTCTACCGCCTCAACAAGGACTCTCGCGGACAGAACATGGGAGCCAGAACAGCTGAGATCCATGGATTCGAATCCGGGTTTTTGCCACTGCCACATTGCAGCGTTAGTCATTTGGGATTTATAAAAAATGCGGATTCTTATTTTTAAAATTTTAAGGACTGGGGAACGAGAAACGTTAGGGTAACCATTTTCAAATTAAGATTTTTGGTTGAGCACTCACAATCCCGGCTGAGTGCACGTGTCGTGAGTCCGTAAATGTACAACGGTACGGGTCACGTACGTACTGCACATAAACCAGACAACGAAATCCCTAGTTACCCTACCCCCTCTACTTCTACTATGTGGGCCATGATCGAGTCAATAACCGATTTATTTTTCTTTCAATATCGGTTGTAGCGTCTGCCTGAAAGATTACATCACGTTCGTTGCATTAATTCTAATTTGAAAGTGATTTGCACATATCTAAAATAATCGAATGTTAACGAGCTCGAAATATATGCACGTACCGTGAGAGTACCAACCGATTTTCATCGACTAATCGTTACCTCCCTCTCATGTCCTACGTTAAAGCGACTCAAATAGATCATAGATCGATAAGTCGACGGAGACGCTGGTCCGTCGAGAATGCGGTTCTCAAAAGCCATTCCCCAGCCGGGTGTAGGGTCCCGATGTTCGGTGCGGCCACCCGTTCACGGTATCCAATAACTACGCACTCGTCCGCCTCGCTTGGCAGGTCGACAGGAAAACCTGGGACGGATTACACCACGAGTACGTGAATTTGTGGAATGTTTAGCTTCTAACACTGTAACATGGTGCAAATTTCAGAATAATATTAACCGCCACTACTTCATTTATTATGGATTTTTTTTCTGGAGCTGAGCCCCGGACAGCTCAGGTGAGCTTTACAAATGTAAATTATTATTAAATCAAGCACCGTTGTGCATTAGTCTCGCAGCGAGTGCCGATACGCGCCGCGATTCATGGTCCCAATTCGCTATACGATTCTCTTCTAGAAATTGGCAAGTGTAGCGGCATCTAGTGGCTAGACGGGTGCCAACGTGAACATCTAGATACATGCGTGTATAACGAATCTCAAGAAAAAAAATACATCGACTATCACACCCGTGAATCGATATACACGTATAGTGAGTTGAGTCCATAATGTATTGACTGCATCCTGGTGCAATCGCATCCATCGCTCACGGCAGGCAGCGCCGCAGAGCAGCGTTTCTCAAACTGTCAATTGGGTTTACAGCTCTCGGCAGTCACCAAACACCGTGCGGCGTGCAGCAGCAGCAGCAGCCTGACTTTGCGACTTCCAAGCAAGTCGAGCTTGAGTAATAATTTTGCGATAATAGACAGGCAGCGGCTTAATGAGGCAATTCATCCAGCAGTGGATGTTCTTTTACGCATATTTTATCATGTGAGATGCAAAACGTCAAATACGTCAAGTGCAACATAAAAAAAAAGTTTAATCACAGGCAGGCGACATGCTGTTTGGCGAACGCGACGTTTGATAAAAACATGTAATGGACATGTGTTTTTTTTAGTAACTCAACGGCGAAACTTTGGGACCCGTTGGCGTAACTCCATTATCAGCTCAGGGGTTGCGGCAATCGGTCAGGTGGGGCTCCAATATTTGATTTGCGCACTTTGCGGACGCCAAATGTGACTGGTCTAATTAAATTAATATAAAACGTGGTACGTAAATTAAAACATTTTTATTTAAAAAAAAATGTAATCGCGTTTTAAATAAGTTTTGTTATTTTTACACTTTTGAAAACATATCCCGTGGTGGTTGTCAAAGGGGCCTCAACTGCACCGGGGCCCATGGAGAGCACCGTGGGGTGGGGGGCAATTAGACGAGAGGACATCTAATTAATTTAAGCAGGGCTCATGCCAACCACGCTACGCCACTGTACAACCACTGCACCTCACTCCAGCAGGATAGACAGACACACACACACAGACAAACCCGCCACAAGTTGTCTCAGACCCTCGTATGTTGCGCTCCAGGCGCATTCCCTTCTCATCCCTTCATCTTCCTCACCCTCTCCGACTCGGACGACAGCCAGCCAGCGCTTGCCCCGTCCTCTTTAAGAGCAGCCACAGCGCTCCACCACCATGTCCGGTATCTTGCCGAAGATGATCTGCTGCTGGTCGTTAAAATAGAGCATGGAGATTGCCGACATCTTAGTGGGAGCGCAGCAGGGCCCCGCGGAGCCGCTGGGGTTGGCCTGCTGCACGAGGTGTGTGTGCGGGTACTTCTGCAGGAACATGTGCTCGCACTGGCCCGAGCAGTAGTTGGCCTTGTAGCGCTTCGGCGCAATGATCCAGTCCCAGCCAAACGCCTCGAAGTCGACGACGAGGGAGTAGCGGCAGCAGCGCGACTCGCTGCCCGGGTCGTTGCAGTCGAGGCCGACGGCGCGGCGCGAGCGCTTCTGCAGGTCCATCAGTTGCACCTCGAGAAAGGGCTTCTGTGGCGCGAGGAACGGAGAGAAGGGAGGGGAGGGGACGGACCCAACCAGATGATCAGACGGACCCAAGGCAGGGAAGATCCCTCTGTTCTCCATTTTACGAGTGGACAAAGGCAGAGATTTATTTCTCACGGGATATTTTCGGGAATGCTGTTAGGCTGCACGGGACTGCCACTTGAGTACAAGGTACATTCCGTCCATGATGATCCTGTAATTCAGATGAGCATCTCCTGTTCACAGCCCTGTACCATTGGTGGGAATTCGAATCCCCTATGAAAGGGGCGAGTCTATCCATAGGACGGTCAATGTGAACTTCATCCAACAAAGTGGTATTTTCTCTACCCCCGGACAAATGATGGGCTGAATTAACCCCGAACCATTATTTAAACTCGCAACGTCCCTATTTGCCCTGCTGCTGAACCTAATCCTCGACGGTACGATGATGTGAGGTGGCCAAGGAGATGGCAGTAAAGCAATGCAGTTAATACAATTGTCGGAGTGACGCCCTCGTTAAAGCCTGGTGGATTCTCTCCACTTTCTCCGGTTTCTTGCTACGTGACCAATACACAATAATGGCGTGGACCAACCGTCTGAATGCAGAACCCTGCTAAAATAGTCTTGAGACAACGTATGAATTCCCATTATATATTCACGAGTCTAGTTCCACGTTAAATATAATAGGTAACAAAACAAAGTACTGCGTGGGCAGTGGTTCAAACATACAGTATACAAACTCAGCACTTCCATCATGAATAAACCTTATGCCCCGGCTCTCGCATAATATCCGTGATGCAGTCATTTTTAGTCTGTTGATGGTCGGCGACGTGGCAATCGACTCATCTCGACGAGCTTTACTCACGATGGACCACCACTACGGTTCAGGGTTTCGGCGCAATCGTCCTCGCTGCGTTTCGACATCCCAGAAATAAAATATTTAATTGCCTCGGCCCATTTTGTATTATTTGGTACCCCGGGGTAACGCCATCAGGATCATATGGCCTTTGAAAATTTATTTTCAAGTTCCATTGGCCTATTTTAAATATAAAAAAACACCGATAATAACTTAGGTCGTGAATTTTTCAGTTTCGTGCTGGAGGCAAACTCGAGTTCCCGGACAAAACGCATCACGCATGCGAGGGAATACAACTCAAAGATCTGCACCGATGGGTTCGCGAATCCACTTGATCTACTTTCAATTCAGTTGGCTGCTACTCCGCCGAGCGTGTTGCACGAGGGTTTAGCTCATCGATGAGAGATATGAACAATGCACATGTACCGACATTTTTGCAATCCACTGCTGGATGAGGACCTCTCCACGCCGTGCAGGACGCGATGGTTATTTTTATAATACTTTTGCACGATAGTGGGGGAAGTTGAGTGAACAGGCATTGGAACATAGTACAGTTTAACAATGGGGTTTGATGCACTGCCCTCTGCTGACACCGGAGACGCCTATGACACCTGTTTTTTTTTATGGATGTTCATCCATCCATACAGTGTCCAGGCTCAACTCTGCTTAGCTTTCAAGATTTGACGATATCTGGCTCTGACTTCATAGCGAATTTTCAAGAGCGTGAAGCGGCGGAAACTTGACACGGAGAATGTTCACATAAACTTACGAGTGCAAAAGTCAAGGAATTGTGAGCGGGTCCTATCTATGAGATAGCGGTTGGAAGTTCCACATTTCTATGACGGGAACCAGTCTATCCACAGAATTAACAAATGTTGACTTCAGCAAAGTGCTTCTCATTTTATCGACCACGGAAGATGGATGGACTGATGAGTTAATTTTCAACTATACATTTAACTTAAACTCGCAGCCTTCCGGTAAAGAGTCAAGTGCGGTAACCACATTGCCATTCAGCTCGATACGCCTATATTCCAGGTATCCTATTCAATCTATAAATTTTATCTTCATGCCATCATGTTGAATCTGCACTAACCAGCGTGCTGAAACATCGTTAAATAGACTCCCACGATCTGCACAGGAATAGGGAGTCTTTCATCCAGCAGTGGATTAACATAAGGACTTTTTCCCGTGTACTTTACATAAATACGAGGTTTAACAAAAGCCATGTTGTTTAAATCCACTGCCATGTGGGTCGCGGGGATCTTATTTTGACCATGTTTTTGGTCCGTGGAGTTTGCTGAAGGGCGTGGAGCAAATACACGAGAGCACAGATGTTGAGCACAACACTCGATTTTGCTGCACCGCCGTCTGATGCCCCACCTCCGATGAGCACGGTTGGCCTCGTAGGGTGCGAAAGAAATTCAACATACGTACATGCCCGCAATTGACGCAGCCTGGCGTCTACAGGCTCAGAATGTTAAGATTTTTTTTTAATGCGACTGCTCTCCACGATAACTCTTTTTAGAGGCCACGGGCACAATTCACGCGCCGGTGAATAATTTAATTTGAGAAAGCGTGTAGTGTAGTGTGTATCGTAGTCAGTGACGTGCGGTGAGGTGAATGGCTGGGGTGGCACTGGCGAGTGTCAGAGTCAGATTCACACACTGAGGGGGGCGTGGCCTTACTGAGGGGGCGTGGCCTCACTGAGGGGGGCGTGTTAGACACGTCCCCCTCAGTGAGGCAGATGTGATAGCTGCCTCCCCTGGTGCTTTTTCATTGCAGTTTCATGACGAGACCAGCGAGCCTAAATATCTTTATACACACACGTGAAATAAGTTACCTGGACTATGGAAGGCGAGGACATGAAATGAAGGGGTCTACAAACATTACATTGGTGACACACACTGAGATAGTAACAGGCACGCGCTTATTGCCCACGCTCCATTCAGTTACTGAGGTGTTGCGCAATCAGAGGGGAGGCTGAGCTCGTCGCTGCCTCACCTCTCGTCTCTACCTCTATTTGCAGCGGAGCTCCGCAAATTTGGCGATTTTTACCATAAAAATGATCGGAATCGTGCAGAAATAACATTTATATCACACATCAGTGGAAAAAATATTAATATTAATTTCATTTGATTATTATTTTTGTTGTACTTTTAGTAACAGCTGTTTTCATTGGAGTATGACAGGTGAGGCTCGTCCCTGATCGTAGTGTATATTAGCTATCACCACCAGCAGTATTGCCGAGGCGGTGCGGAGTTCCGGACGTAGCACTGCCCAGTCGAACACTCCACGCAGTGATTCGAGAGATTCGCGCGGGACAGAAAGGCGCGTCCACGCTAGAAGCGAGCAAAGAGTAATTCTACAACGCACATTATCTTATAGGCACCATTAGAGCAATATACATTGTCTCATATATACATTGTCCTGTTGTATGTTACCGTACTGCTGGCTATAATAATAATAATAACAGGGCTAGAATTTTGAATCTAAGTGCTGTATAACAAAATTACTGTGTGCACTGCACCGCGAAGTATGCCATTGTTATAGAATGAACATGTCATGCATGAAGGGAGGACCGTGCTTATGGTCACAGAAGCGCGTTTTGACGCCTACAAACCCCATTTTGCGTGTATATTTGACTCTGTTTTAGGGCTTGGTCGAAAAGTTGCTTGTTGTAACTGTTATGTTTGTGCTTGTGCACCACTGCCCGAAGCAGCGGTAACGCCTTTAGTTGTTTCCTTTAAAATGAATGTCGCGCGCATCGTAACCCCGTGTCCATGCCTCCTTAACCAGCACGTGCGCAGCAGCAGCAGCAAGCGACGTTGACGCCACGGCATCGCGAACCCACGTACCAGACCATCCTCCTGCGGGCCGGGATCCGTGACGGCCAGTTCGTTTCCCTCCGCGTCCACGGCGTGAATCTCGAGCCCCCAATTCCTCTCGGGGTACTTGAAGCTGTTCTGCAGCAACTTCTTGGAGTCGATGCGCTGCCAGTGTCCTTTCGGCGACGTGAGCCGCGTCTTCCAGCTCCTGATGTGGATGCGACCCACGGTGCCGCCCGCCGACGGCTGCAGGCGGATGAGCTGCACGGTCACGTCCGTGTCCTTTTGCACGGGGCGCAAGTAGAGCCACAGGTTGGCCCTGTGGACCGTGTACATCGTGGTGCTGGGGTTGAACTTGAAGAAGCAGCACTTGGGCCTGCCGCTCACTTGCACTTTGGGGTCGACTGTAGCGGGAGATATGGGGTGGGGGCAATGGGGATGGTGGGACCGCGGATGGGGGGGGGGGATGAGCAGTAGGGGGTTGGCACACGTGTGTCACATAGTGGAAACTTAACGAAGAACGCGAGCGAGTGAGTTCAAAGTCTGGGGGGGGGGGGGGGTCTTACGCGGAGCATTTTCCGTAATCGCTGAATGGTGTGGAATTTTGTTCTGCCTATACCGGGTTTTTCTTCTCGACTAAACAAATTGTTAATTGAGCTAAAAAGAAACAGAACTTGACCAAAACTCTAAATGCACGACCCCTCTGGAAAGATGACTCGGTGAAGCTGATATGATACTGCGCGACTGCATGCCGTTAACCTGTACGCCCTGTCGTGACTCAAATGGTATATAAGGCTCCCGACTCGGGAGTCCAACTCTTCATTTAATATCGCATGCGGTCGATAAAATGCTTACCAAGTCGTGGAAAAGTCAACCAGTGGTTTGTCCTATGGGTACATTCACCCCCGCCATGAGAACGTGGAACCGTCTCAGAGCCGCTCAATCGAGCGGGCGGGGGGAGGGGGGCATTTGAATGTGTTGGTTAATGTACAGGGAAGCACGTACGCTCTTTGGCCATGACGATGACCGTCTCCGTGGTGGCATGGTCCTCCTCGTCCCTCTGCATCATCGTCGACGTGAAGACGGGTGCGTCGGCCGCGCCGCCGGGGAATCCGGACTGCTCCTCGAATCCGTAACGCTGCAGCAGAAACTGCAGCGGCGGAGCGTGCACGGGCAGCAGGCGGTGCACCGTCTCGCGGCTGATGTTGGGCGCCTGCTGCAGGCGCAGCTCGCTGAGCACGTGCGCGCGGATCGACTCGAGGCGCCACATTCTGTTCTGCTCGCGCCGGGCGCACGCCCAGCACAGCCCGGCCTCTTCGGCGGGCATCGCCTCCCCCGGCGGCACCGGCGGCACCGACTGTGTGCGGTTGGGCAGCAGCAGCGGCTCGCGGGCGAGCAGCGGAGGGCAGAGAGCCACTGCGCACAGCAGAACGTATGCGCAGCCGCGCGCAACGCCCGCGCGCTCCATGAGGTCGGCAGCGATTTTGGATGTTCGGTCAAAGCGCAGGGAACGAAGAAGAGACGAGGAAGTAAAGGAGGGAGGGGGGGGGTGTTAGGGGATTAGGGAGGGTCAGTCGAATGGGACACAGCGGCCGTGCGCAGTCGCTTAAAGTACCGTGACGTCCACGATGGAGGTGGTGGAAGGACGCGAGAGCGACGCGTACACGTGCGCGGCGCACGAAAAGGAGAGACGTTCTCTTTGTTGACGCGGGAACCGTGTCGCGTGCAAGCGCACAAGCCAGTGGACCTGCTACTCTATCGGGTGCTTGTGTTTATATACACGGAGGGAGCGGTGAGAGCGTGCGCCGCCAGCTTGCGAGGCTGCAGCTATTGGCTCGCAGAGAGGGGTCCGTCAGAGTGCGCCGTTCTGGCGTAAAATCCGCATGCGTTGCTCGTGACAAGCGAGTCCCCGGTGAGACATGACACTCGCGAAGCACACCGCCTCCTCCTCCATCCTCCACCACCTCCCTCTTCATCCAGCCCGCATCTACCCCATATCACCTCTGCGTTAATCCTACTCATCTCCCTAAAAACATCGACACCCAAAGAATATCGACATTGAGACGTGATCTAGGCACGCGCTCCGAGCGCAGTTGATGTGTATACGAGTAGCGAATGACAGTCATCTTTAATCGCACGTGGCTGCGAAAGGGGCCGATATACACCTTGGCAACACAGCTGAATTTTTCTTGTTGAAATTTTAGTCCGTTCCATTGCTGGTAATGGAGACATTGGAGTTTTGTCGACACAACTCGCACGAATATAACCCGTGGCTAATGCAGTACGCGGATCGGGCCCAATTTCACATGGGTCGTCGGCCTGCACATATAATAGGGTGCGCGTGTTAGCAAACGTCACTTATTTGGGAGGCCTTCATCCAGCCATAGATTGACAAAGGGAAGTCTCGTCTATTTCCAAGAGTCCGCATTGAGCTGTTTGGCCATTTTCATGAATGAGTGATTGACTTCGCGTGGCAGGAACCAGGAAAACCCTAAGTGAACCCAGAATGCATACGAGGAGGGGTTGACGCTCAGCATTGCCATCTTCTGGCCACCACCAAGTCCCACCCACGTCTAGAATACCCGGCGATGTTTCTTGGTCACCCATCCAAGTATTATAAGCAGAACTCTGCTTAGCCAACGGAGATTATGCGCAGAAAACGTGTTGTAATCAATGAACTGTCGTCAATGTCTTTATCACCGCCAACAATGGGGCATGTTGCTAAATGGATGTTGGTGCGTGTTGACCGTTACGTCAAGATGTGAATCGAGCTCACACTGTCAATCATTGGCCATGATCTAGCCACTCTTGAATGAAGCCGCTGCCACTTCTCACAGTCCTGGGATGCAACAATCCATCCGGCTCCCAAACACGATTTTATTTTATTGCTCCGTCACCCGCGACGGATATTCTCTCGGGCGTCTTCTCTCCTTTGGCTCCCAACAACGTCCTTAGTCTCGACCATTGACCATCATCACTTTTAGCTACGTGTCCCGAGCAGCCCACTTTTCTTAACTCAATATGATGTCTCTAACGTGTTTTTTGTATACTCTCTAATCCATCTGTTATTCCTGTATCTCGTATCGTATGGCGTTGTAGCTTGAAAGGATAAAGTCACGCAACACAAGTCCGTTGGCTCGAAACTTTGATTAACACCCCTCTCCTGCGCTCTGCTCCCCCGCCGCCTCCGCTGGCGTGCGTGACATCTCTCGGTGTAATTCCAAGCGTGGATCTTTCTATTACACTGGCACGTTTCTGCTCCGTGTGTCATAGCGAGTCATTTACACTGATTTAAGTGAAAACCCATTTAACCATAATCCATGACTTAAGATGACATTTGGCAATGAATCGCATATGTTTGATTAAGTCATAATTCGACAAAATTGTATATCTTATAATTTAATTGCGTTGCCACGGCGATTATAACAAGTTACGTCAAATCCTACGTCTGTGCGTGCATATTTTTTAATTCACGATATTCATCACTCCAAACTGAAAACTTCTCCCGTCTCAACTAATCAACTGAGGGCCGTGCTTACCAATTTTGTATGTGATGGGCCAGTGTTGGAAATTCCACATTCTCATGGCAGTGGAACGGGTCATTCATCAGTCGCCAATTGTTGAGACTTCCCGCAAAGTTATAGCTGTCGTATCGATCCCCACAGAGATGCTATGAATTATGCTTCATTCTCAACCCTTGTGGTTATTGAGTGTCCCATTAAGAGCTGAATAGAAAGCAATTGGAAGACTTTTGACCCTTGTGCTTGGAAGCGTAACTGCAATTAATACTTCACTCCAAACAGAGAGCATTACTACTGGCCAGAGCCACTGAGGACAGTGGTGATTTATATAGCATCTCAAGACAATTGTACAGAAACGTTGGACAAATGTACGCTATAGAAAGAGGCAGTCGGTCATATGCAGAGGGAGTTCGCGTTTATTTATTTAATTAGAACTCAAGAGACCAGGATGAGTCTCATTTGCAAGCGTCATCTGGAAACATGGATGGTCTTGCGCCTGGATTTGAACATGTGACAGGGGGTCGACAGCACAGATGGCTGGTGGAAGGGTGTTCTAGTTCCAGACGAATATATAACAAACACGAATTATCTCATATTCTTGGTTCTTATTGTTTTATATTTTTATTATTATTTTATTGTTTCCCTTCTACGCGACTTCACCGAAATAACCAAGAATATGAATCCCTGCAGTCGTGAAAGCTTTAAATCACGACTTATCTCATTAAAAATAACTTGTCACAACCAGCCGAGTGGATGGGAGTGGGAGGGAGCAGCGTGATTGGAGTTTGGTTTGGGTCTGCGGGGGTGTTGCGGAAACGCAGGACCACCCCCCCCCCCTGCTCGTGCCCTAATCATGGTCGATGGCTGTATCTGGATCGCTTTGACGTGCACCACGTTACATAATAGAAAGTTGACTATTAGCGAGCTCGCGTTGTCATGCTGTGCCAGTGCCGATAATGATGTTGCAATCCTCAAGATATTCGCGAAGCTCTTTTACATCGTGCTCACGAATGGTACGGTGTGCATTATTATAATCATACTAGCCTTTTGCCCGTCCAAAGACGGGTGTATTGCAGTAAATCTGAAACTTGCAAGCGAAAAGCAGACCGCCACGTGATATATTCATTGCAGCAATTCGTGTGCAATTTGTAATGCCGCGGTGACACAAGACTTATTTCATTTTAAGGTTATAATCCCTTGTTCATCGTGACGTCCTTTTTTACTTTGATGCTTCAATAGCGTTACGGAGATCACGTGACGTGAGTGTTCTGCCTTTGTAGCGAGGGTTGTGAGTTGACGCCGAGGAGGGGGGAGGAGGCGCCTCGCCCCCCCATGTGGAGTGACGTCAGCCGCTAATTATTATGAATGGGGGGGGGGGGTGAACATTTGGAGGACGTCACCTTATGATTGAGGGGGGCTGTTCGATGTGGAGTGACGTCACCTGCTCATGATTATTGAGGGGCAGATCCATGTGGAGGACGTAACCTGTTCATGATTATTGAGGGGGGCTGGTCGACGTGGTGACGTCACGCACGTTACACACTGACATTCTTGGGTAAATATAGTAGTAAATAAAGCCATTTGGAAATCCACAGCTATATTAAGGCCTCCCTCCCCCTTGCCCTTGTCATAGGGATTGCATGACTATACTTCACCACGCTAGTTAGTGAAGGGGGTGGGAATGGGCCAGACAGCATTGGATGTCACTCGTCACTGATCAGTTTTTGCTGAGAATCAAACTCAGGGCGCCAGGTTCAGGACACCACTGTGCCTCGACTCACCCTCGGAAATTCAATTTGTGCGGACCAAGTACATACTTTGGTTACTTGAAGATGAACAAATGGAAAAAACTAAAGAATCAATTCGTGGGAAATAATATGGAATAAATAATACTTAAGCATAGGAACCAAGCATAATCGAAATTTAAAAAATGAGTAACTTTATTTACACACACACACATTGCCAAAGTGTTACTATTGAGAGTTTAAGAAAACAAATTAAACAGTAACTTACGTGATTTCTGCCACATTGTCATCTACATTTGTCACAGTAGTATAGTCCTGATGTGGCACATTAGGAATGGACCACTATTTTAATAAGTCCTTATGTGCTGTGCAGTACATCAATGCACGTGTGTACACCAGCATGTGATGACTGAGTTGGGCCTGTGGGGGGCTGGGAGGGTTATTGATTAACCGAACATGTACACCAGTCACGTGGTTAATGGCGACTCAGTGAAGATTGCTGTGTGTGACACCACATGCTGTTGCATTTTACAGATTAACCACAATAAATGTGTTTGCCCTCGATTTGGAGCACCTGCCCACGTCCTTCATTTCGAGTGTGCAACACTGAGATCTCATTCCATTCAGGTGTTTTGTAAAACCGACAACTGACAAAGCACATCTGCTGCACATTCATTAAAATACGCAATAAAAATCATCAGCTCCCACTTATTGCCATCGGTCGCGAAAAGATTTGTGATCGGGAGCACTTCAGTACTTCCTAAACACGAGGGTAAGAAAGTCTGCTAATTGCTTTCTATTCAGCACTTGTGAGGCACTCAATAACCACCAGGGCTGATAATGAGACTCCACTCCAAAATGTGTTATTTGGGGTGTATAGTGTGTTGTTTGGCAAGATGTCTGAAATTTCGCTCCCAATGTTGAGCAAAACATCAGACATTGTGTCGATCAACACACATTACAACCTGAAACACACAACAGAGAGCTCAAGAGTGCAATGTTGCCTGGCCATGAAACGTGAATATGCCGATTACTAAATGAAAGAGCAGTAAGATTTAATAGCCTGGTGCCAACGTGCATGAGCCACGGGCTCAACTGATCTCAGAGCTCAGCTGTCTGCACTCCTCCTCCATCACGCCGCGGAAGACCTCGAAGCGGTGGTTGAGGTTGTCGTTGGCATGCAGTTTGTAGGCGCTGCCCAGGGCGCCGTCCGGCGATGGCGTGCCGTAGAAAACCCGCTGTACGCGAGAGTGCACCAGTGCCATGGCGCACATGACACACGGCTCGCGCGTCACAAACACGTCCAGGTTCGTGCACAAGTACGGCTCCTCCTCCGACGGAGTCCGCGGGTCATGACCTCCGCCCCCCGCGACCTCAGTCGTGCCGCGATCGTCCTCCGTGCCGGCCGATCCCCCTCGACCGGCACCGACGCACACGCAGTCCGGGTACTCGTCGTACGAGTAGGCGCCGCCGCCTTGGCCGCGCGCCACCAGGTCCACGGCGACCATGACCGCGTGGTGCAGCGGCCGCTCAGGCGAGCAACAATCGTGGGCCACGGCCACCACCTCGCCCGTGCGGGGGTCCGCCACGGCGGCCCCGACGGGCCGCGTGCCACGCGCCAGCCCGGCCCTGGCAGCCTGCAGCGCGCGGCCCATGTGCGCCTCCATTCGCCGCTTGTCGGCGTCGTCGAACGGTCGGCCGCTCAGCAGCAGCGACAGCCGCTTGCGCTCGTGGAAGGAGCACGGCCAGCAGCGGGAGGCGAACTCGAACTGCGGCCGCGTCAGCGGGGGGCTTTGAGGCACTAGCACACCGAACGGCAGGCCCAGCGCCGCGTACTCGGCGAAGCTGCCGTCGTCGGGGATTACGTCGGCCAGGCGGACCGGCTGCTTGTGGTTGGCTGGCAGGTCGCGCGTCAGGCACAGCAGGATCTCCAGGCCGTGCGCCTTGGACGTGTCGAGTGTGCCGCGCACCCTCTTCAGGTGCTGCAGACCCTCGAGCGGGTAGAGGCGGCACACGGCGGCGATGAGCCGCGCGGTGGCGCGCTTGTCCAGGATGGGGGCGGCGTATGCGGGCTGCGTCGGCACCTCGTTCCCGACGAGGTGGTCGGCGAGCACGGGGACGGCGCGCCACCTCGCCGCACCCTCCTCATCCGTCCTCTGCTTCTTCGGTTCTGGCTCCATTTACATCTGCGGGTGAGCGTCGTGGCCGGGCGCTAGAAGCTGCGCTACCTCGTTTTCCTGAGAACGAGACCATGCGCGTGCGTGACAACAATGTGTAATTATATTGGGGCATGCTGGAACCAGCTCCACATCCTGTAGATTAGGGGGGGTTGGGAGCCATCCATAAATGACGTCACACACCTAGGGGGGATGGGGGGGGTCAGACATTTGTGACGATGTGTGACTAGGGGGGGGAGGTTTGAGAAATGTGACGTCACATCAAAATGCGCAACTTTAAATAAATATAAACAACACGTTCTACTTAATTAAATAGACTTTTTAATAAATGTTTTCTCCTACAACATCAGAGTGCAGCGCCACATTAAATACACACTACAATGACAATAGTTTAAAGCGACTTGAAGCATGTTTTATTTTGGGGGGGAGGGGGGGCAGAGCTTTGTGACGTCATATTTGAGGGTGGGGGGTGACTGACTTTTTGTGACGCCGTGTGACGAGGGGGGGGGTCAAAAATCGTCAAAAATCTCGCGACGTCATTTATGGACGGTCCCTTTCCTGACTGCGTAAATCTAAATGTCGTTAACCCAGCACCCACCCGACAGGAAATTAGTAAGGTTTGTCACGTGAGTAAACCAATTACCTCCTTCAAGCACACCGGTGCGATGGACAGTAACCCCACAACATTTTAAATTTGAGTTCGACGTTTCGCTGGTGATTACAACCAGCTTCATCAGGCGATTTGCCAGAATTATATTTGTCGCGAAAGCCTAGTCATTTAACCAAACTATAAATATTAATATAACCTCCAGCCATTGTCACAAGAGCGGTGACACAAATCTTGGTCACAGTTTCCTTTCCTTCTGTTACCCAAAACAAGAGGGTAAATAATGGTCGCACACAACTCATCAAGACCAATGGCCCGGTGTTCCTTCCGGCCAAAAACGAGGTTCTGACATGGCCCTGAACAATTAAAAGTTATTTAAACAAGTGCTGTGACGGACGATCTGACTCGCAAACGGACACGAATGCAGCAAAAAAAATAATTTTGATTATATTCCACTTTGGATACAAGGATTATTATTAATACACAAAGTACGTGTTTAATACTTGGGCTGCAGGTCGTGAGAGTTTCCGTACCGATACTTCTCAAAACACGGCGACCACCGCAACAACAATGTAAAACACACACGGCACGAGTCCACGGATATGAAGCAGTGAGCAGTTGTGCCCAGCGCAGGACCGTGGATAGAACACAACCGATATTTATTAAGAGAGAGAGGAGGGGGGAATTAACATTACTTGGGCTCCGATCGTGCGCTAGCGATCACTGCTCACCACCGTTACAGCACGAAAAGTAACCGCGGGTTATACTTACTCTATAACATCACCACCACCAGCTAGTACCTGCAACCGCCGTGTTATCGGAACGGGGAGATGAGTTGCGGCGTCTCAGTGCCCCACAATCACTGCCGACCTCTTCAGTGCTGCGGGGAATTGTGTCACGCCGGGCTCGCCTCGTAGACCTCCCCCTCTCGCCTCTTCTCGAGCGGCGGCTCCGCTCCGCACGTGGGGACGGCGCGGCTGGGAAGAGGAAGCGGGAGGGCGGTTTTGCTTCCGGGGTCAGCGAGGACGACGCTGCTGCTGCTGGTGGTGGTGGTGGTGCTGCTGCTGCTGGTGGTGCTGCTGGTGGTGGTGGTGCTGGTGGTGCTGCTGGTGGTGGTGCTGCTGCTGCTGGTGGTGCTGCTGGTGGTGGTGGTGCTGGTGGTGCTGCTGGTGGTGGTGGTGCTGCTGGTGGTGGTGGTGCTGCTGGTGGTGGTGGCTCATTCATCAGCACGTGGGGGCTTTGGGGTCATTCATCGATTCCGCGACACGCGGGGAATGAATCGCTGAGTGAATCCGTCATTGGCATGTTGGCAGTGCGGGGCCTGTAGCATATGTTATAAAGTGGCCCTACATTTTTTTTAAAACACACATACATATTAAAACACTAATTTTTGTTTATCTTCTTGGTTCTTTCGGTAAAGTCACGTAGAATGGAAACAAAGTAATAAAAATAAAACTTTTTTATTTTATTATGTTTTATTTTACCGAAAGAACCAAGAAGATGAATCCCTGCAGTCACGCAAGCTTTAAATCGAAACAAGTTTTTTTTACTTTGGGGGCCGTACATAAATGACGTCACGCACCTAGGGGGGATGGGGGGGTCAGACATTTGTGACGATGTGCGACGAAGGGGGGGGAGGGGTTTGAGAAATGTGACGTCACATAAAAATGCGCAACTTTAAATAAATATAAACAAAACACGTTTTACTTAATTAAATAGAATTGTTATAACGACACTCGTTTTGATTAATTTTCATTATTAACTTTTTGATTATTTAAATGTATTAAGTTCACCTTTTATTTGTAGTAGAGATTATATAATGTTAAACTTAAGAACCGGAAGTCAAACTACGTCACACTTTTATAGAGAATAATCAAATTGTAATGCAGTCATATTAAACACGCTTCATAGTTTCGAATAATAATTTTAAAAACATAAGTACTATTATTCCTGTCATATCAATGGACATAATTTTAAATCACACACATTTGTTTATTCATTCTTTTTTTATACCAGTATTAAATTTATATACTATTATTATATTACGATAACATTTATGATAATATAAAAATAACAGTTTTTGGGTACAAAGATATCAAACAGCCATTTTTGAGCATGGAGGGATAATGAATCATGGAGTATCTACTAATTATAAAGTAATTCGGCAAGCGTTCAATAGCCAACGCGTTCTTCATGATTCATTATTCCTCCATTAAATTGTAGTTCTTTGTCCCTAGACAATGACGTCATGCTTCTTTTCCCCATTGTCCTACTATGAACCATGAGTGACTGAATTTAACCATTTAGGATCTTTAATTTAACTACGGAGTTGCCTTGTGGAAATGAAAAAAAGTAACCGCTCACGATTCAGTATATCGTGTGCACGATTTAGTATTTTATGCGCAAAAAAATAGTTATAATAATGATGTAGATGCTCACCCCGAGCCCTCATTACTTTGATAGTGGCATTATCTTTGAGCTGTGTGACGCCTTTTGGCGTCCTCTGGTCGAGCACCAATTGGGTCGAGGCTCAAAAGAAAGCCGTCCCTTGGTGTGGACCAATTTGTTTCAAGGACAATGCATCATATATTATCAAAGTATGTTGTTTGTTTGCATTTTGACTGCAGGTATTGTGGTTAATGCAGCAGACATGAATCCTCGTGAAAAGGTTTCAGTTTTGTTGCCAGAAAAAAGGGGAAAAACCCTATTATTACGTTTTGGTACTGGCAAAGGAGGTCTAATGATGAAAAAAAGTAGCTTTTATTCCATGAAGGAGCATTTTGCTTCTCCATGGGAGGATGGAGAAGCATATATTTTGTAATTTTTTTTTATGATTGTTATTAAACATTTTGATTCTAATGATTCTACCAGGGCGTTTCATTCTGTGGAATGAATATGTGATTGTTATAATTGTACTCTCCATTTTGCTTCGTTCTACTACAAAGTTTCAAGTATTTTTTATAATTATAATTATTTTTTAATATTTTATAATTATAACAGAATTTCAATATAATATTCTGAACATCTGCAGTTTTTGTTAGACGATGACTATTTTCAAGTGAATTTTATGCTAAATTTCAGCTTTCCAACGCATTTTTAATGCATGTTTTCTCCTACAACATCAGAGTGATGCGCCACATTAAATACGCACTTCAATGACAATAGTTTAAAGCGATTTGAAGCATGTTTTATTTTCAAAATGGAAATATGGTTTTTGGGGGGGGGAGGCAGAGCTCTGTGACGTCATATTTGAGGGGGGGTTTGACTTTTTGTGACGCCGTGACGAGGGGGGGTCAAAAATCGGCCAAAATCGCGTGACGTCATTTATGGACGGCCCCTTGAATAGTAAAGTAATTGTATTTTTTCATTCGCCATACAGCCAGATAATACGACAAATCGCTAACCTTAAACACCCAGTCGTTCATAAAAGCTCAAGGCAGTATAGTACTATAGTAATAGAGCAAGTGCAGTCACTGAACCGGAATTGATAGCTTGAAAGCATTTAGCGTGCGTAGCTACTACATATGCAGCTACTTTTGCTCCTGGGATAATCCGGCACTGCACGTTGGGTTTTTGGAATTTATGAATGTTGATGTATTTACACCTAGGTATGGACGATTCATTCATTTAGAGCGGGGTAAGTAAGTTCAAGAATAGACACGTGGGTTAGGGTCATTTAATCAAGGACGCGTGATTTATGGACGCGCGGTTTATTTCCTCTTTCACCGACACGTCGGTATGGATTATTCACTGTGAACGCGTGTTTGTGGGTTATTAATTTGCTGACACATGAGCATGGGGCATTATACCCCCCCCCTGCGTACGTTCGCTTGACGCACCCCCACCCCCCCCCGAATCCTATAGAACGGCCGATATTCAATCCACGCAGAAACGATCGAGGATTACTCATATGAACGTGTTTAAGCAAACAGATAGTCCACCGCTGGACTAATTTGAAAGCCAATGTAGACAAATTATCGAGGCTTCACCTCCACCCCCCCCGTTTCCTATGCGTACGTGCATTGTCAGTAGACCCCCTCCATACGCAAGCGTGCGCATTTGGGTTAACCCCCCTCCCCCCTCCATGAGAACCTACTAAATGGATGGCCCTCCTGAGTGTAGATAATTTGCCAAGGGTGCCATTCACAAAAACAAAACAAGGACGTCACTAGAGTGTCCTGGAAATGACGTGGCCGTATATACCGCGGGGACGGGGGGGGAGGGTTACCCCAAATGTAAAGTTCACTGACACGTGGGTAGAACAGCGGTCGATCAATTGACATCAGTAACACACGAGCGGGTGGCGTAGTAATCATAGGGGGCCGAAGTTCGCTTTGTCCCTCGCATTAGGAATCGCGGGTGCATATAATTAATTTATTTTTTTAATACGAATTGTAAACTACTGAACATAAATTAATAAAGGTATCCACTTTTGGGGGGGGGGAGGCGTTGCCCACCCCGTGCCCCCCGCCAAATTCCGCCCCGTGCACAGTATATCCCAACCTTACCTGTCATCCAACATCCTCTTCACAAACCCGCACTCTGGATACAGCAGTAGACCGATATTTTTAACAACGCTGGAGAGTAAACACCAGCCATGGTTCGCGCTATTTTGTCACCATCTGTATGTCTGTTGAATGACCGTATTCACTATTTGCACTTAAAGGTATCCCTGTATACCCTTTATTACCGCATCAGAAATCCATCGTAGCTTTTGACATCCCGCGCACCCGAGTGTCTCGCCGCTCACGCACGCAAACCAACATCGTGTCGCCATCTGCTGATCAAAATCTGGTACTGCCTTTTTAATTGCAATACATGTAGTTCACACAGCACCCAAGTAACAAAGTCAAGTCAAAAGGATTTTCCTGCATCATCTAGCAAATGAACACTGCTCACGTCCATCTACAACCGCGAGGCACTGTTCCTTTGATGATGGTTATTTGTGAATAACGTTTGAATTCCCACAAAGTGGTACTTGATTTTCTCTCCCTGCACCTTGACTGGATTTTGAATTTGCAACCTCATGGTGAGTCAGTTTCTCTAACCATAGCACCACCTGACCAGACCCATCCCATTATTATTATCACAACTGTATAGAAACAATGCAATTTTGATTCATATGGCATCTAAATTGCAACCGCATATCTGTACAGATACAGTGGGCACGTAATTAGAAGCACTTATAGAGGGGAAAAAAGGAAGGACTTGAGTATCGGCAGGGAGTCAACAGCACGGATGGCTGGGGTAGTTAAAGACTGTCGGTGCTGTAGGGGAGAATGAGAAACCTCCCATTAAGTGAAGGTTGACTGGAGGCTTAAACAGAAGGCCTTGATTGCTGAAGTGGACAGGACATCAGGGGGAGTGGCGGCCACATTTTAGAGCAAGCATGACATGTATCGTGTCTCAGTGTGGACATGGATAACCGTGTGTCAAAAACAACTCTGCCACTCCTGCACCTCTCGGGCGGCCTCAAATTTGGCTCAGCCGGGACAGGGGTCGCATGTTTCTGCCGCCGAGCGCTGCGGACGCTGGGTGGGCCCGAGGCGCCGCTGACTTGGCGCGGAGAGAAGTGCCCCTCGAGGGCTGCAGGGCCAGCTTGGCCGGCGCTGAGATTGCCCGAGGAGTTCTCCGTTCCGGTGAACCATCGGCCTTGTATCGGGGGCCCACGGCGGTTTTGGCTCGGCCTGGAAACGTCCGTTCATTCATGAAACACGGCTGGATAGCTCAGCATCTACAATATTTAAACTGGGCATGGGGAACCAAGGGTCTTTGGGCTGCACACGGCCCTTCATTTCATATGGTCGACGGACACATAAGGCCTACCACTTCGAAACTGCCCGTAACTTATATTTATCCATCACTTCAAACATCTCAACCACACCAAATGAGCATTAGAGGGGGAAATATTTTCTACCTGGAAAACTATTATAGTTTTAACACATTCAGCCATTTCTGTCACTGCAAAGGGCCTCTGTATACTCAGCTGACAGGCATTTTAGTTTTCCGGGTATTATTGGAAAATGCTGAGGTGCGTGTTAACGTGCGACTAAGCCCAAGGTATTTCAAAGTCCTCTTCAACAGTAAGGAAAGGTTTCCCATTGCTGGTTTAGTCCATGAATGAATGTTAACTAAAGAAAACCAAGAACTTAATACAATCACAATATTTCAGAATCAATTGAAGGAGAGACAAAACAGCATAATACCTTTATGATTGTTGGGGATGACTTTGGGGCCACCGTATATCTCCAAGCTGTTAAAACACACCGAGGCATGATCTGTATATGGTAGTCACAGCTCAACAGCACACGTGGAATCATCGACCATGCTAAACATAACTCGTAATTCGTAATTTTTACAAGAGACCTCGTGTTTTGTGATGTAAGTGCTATCTTAGTGTCGTCCTTTTGTAGCACACAAGGTTGGTGGGTTTCTGAAGCACATGATTTAAAAAAAATGCTAAATTATTTACAGCCTTTCTCAATACAATGCTGGAGAAATTTTTCTCCATGCCTGCCTTGATGATGGTCATGGGGGTTGTTTGACCATACTTCATCATGCTGGTCAGTGCTGGACGAAGGCCGGATATCCAGAAAGGGTTCATTTATCACTCGCACATTTAACACTCACATTTACTTTTGGTGGAGTGGTAGTGCAGTTGTTAGCGCATTGTGCTAACCACTCCGAATGATATCTAAATTAGTCAGCGACCCCCCCTCCCCCCAATGTAAACCCACAACGACCAACATGGTGAAGTATAGTCTACAATCCCCATGGCTGATACAGCGAGGGGAGGCCTTCATCCAGCAGTGGAATGAGAGAGGGCTCTACACAAAAGACAGACCTCCCGTGTAGCCTTAAAAGACTGTTGGGGCAAGTGCTGTTAGCGAGCGCCTAAGAAGGCCGGCACGGCCAGCAGCACGCCCGGCCGCCTTTGTCTTCCCCATTGGCGATGTTTACACATCGCACCAGGTACTCATTTGAGGGTGAGTCGACTTAGGGGAGGCCCAGGACTGGTTCAGATAATCGTCACTGGTGTTGGCCGTGAGCGGGAATCGAATTCAGGTCGCCGGGTATGTATGGCAGCACGCTAACCGCTACACTACCACACACACACACATGCACGCGTACATTGACTTGCACATTTGGCACTCGCAGCTGGCAGAGGAGGGCTGCTCACCTGAGCGCCGGCAGGCCGATGAGCTGTTGCCGCTCGAAGTCAGCCATGAAGTCTGGGCTGATGCGTGCATCGGGGCCCAGGCTGGACATGAGCTGCCTGTAGAGGCCGGGCCGGCAGCGGCAGGAGACCAGTAGCATGCGGTGAGCCTCGCGGTTGAAGCTCAGGTAGCCCAATGCCACCGCCGCTGCCTCACGAACCTGGGCAAGAACAAATTGGGGTGCGCGGGCTCGCCTCAGGTGTGGCTCAGGTGTGGCTCAGGTGTGCCTCAAATGTGGCTCAGGTGTGGCTCAGGTGTGCCTCAGGTGTGGCTCAGGTGTAGCTCAGGTGTGGCTCAGGTGTGACCTTCTTACATCTGTAGGCAACCGCTGGGTATGCACCACTGAATAATGTTTAGACTTTTTTTATTAATTCGTTGGTGACCTTCATAACAGGCTGTAACGAGTTTCCCTCCTTGATATTTGCTGCATTGCTAATCCTTGAACTACTTTTGGTCTCTGAATTATAAGCAGAATGACAAACATCTCATAATATATGGTACCCTTTATGAACTCGCCCAAGACCCAATTTATTCCCCTCTCCACTCGGCGCACCGAGCTCATCGCTCCCCTCTCTTCTTCCCCTTCCCCTGTCCTCTTTGCTGTCCCCCCCCCACCCCGTCCACCTCCCTTCTTCTCCCCCTCCCCTTGCTTGGCCTCTTCCCTCATGTCCATAAAACACGACCGAGGATTGCAGAGAAACATGCGGTACGCAAATCCTTTGACTCACCATAATCCGCCTTTTTGTTTTCTCCTTTGGTATTTGTCACTGCAAAGCCTAATTTATATACGCTATATATACATCAATAATAGTCGTATGCAGTTGATTGCAGCTTGATTGTGGAGCTTTAAGTTAAAGGTTAAAGTGGTTTTCTGCTGAAACAAGCATTAAGGCGGTGCCCATCTCCCTTCTCTTGTTCATAGCCCTCAGCCAGTGGTACAAATTCCACATTCATATGGCAGGGACGAGGGTATCTATTAATACAACCACCACAAAGTGGTACTTGTTTTATCAACCTCAGAGGGATGATGGGCTGAGTCAACCCTCCAACCAGGATTTGATCGTGCAACCATCGCTTGACCGCTGAGCCATGTAGGCCCGGCTCGAAGTGGCCACCTGCGTGCCTTATGCTGATGCACACCGTGTCGGCGGAGGAGAAGAGGTGCTCGGTGAGCATCTCCATGGCCCCCAGAGTCACCATGGCAATGGGAAGGCCGGCCCTCGTGTGTGCCAGACTGGCAAGGAGCTCACCTGCACACACGCACGCACGCCGCAGGTGGCCACACCATTACGACCGCTCATGCACCAGATATTATTACGATTTCCTCTTTTCATCCGAATAAGCGCCACGTAGCAACATTGCCCCCTTCTGTAAAACTTACGTTGAGTACATTGCACTGCAAGATTGCCGTAAATGTTAATCGCACTAATGTATTAATGACTGGAGACAGCATCGAGCGCCACGTGTGGATTTACAGTATGGGCGGTGGAGTGGTGCGCGTATCTCACTAGCCAAGACGATGGAATCCAGGTTGCTGGAGCTGAGGAGTCCCACCAGCACGGAGAGGCCCTGCGCCGTGAGCGGAACTTGTTCGCCATCCCGGAACACTCCGGACAGCACCACCATCTGCTTGCGTGCAGACAGCTGCCGCCGTGAACGCCACGCCGAGCGACTGCCACGGTCGCGTTTCTCCAACAGCGCAGCCTGGCCCCCGCTCATAGACGGTGCACCGGTTATCACACCATGCCACGGTCATCGCTAAGTCGTCCATGCAGGAACGATAACCAGTAGTGATGGTGGTTTGTGGCTCAACGTTCAGGAAGTCAACTGGGTTGTACAATTTTAGATGTGTGCAGATTATTGAATGTATCTTTTTGCAAGCAATGGTGGTGATGTTAGTGGTGATGAAACTGATGATGCACTTGTAATGGGCTTCACCAGACCACTGCTCCTAGCAAACTGCATGGGCTGCTTGTGTCCATCTAGTGGAGAAAGTGCTGATGATGAAGCCACCTTCACAGGTGACCAGGGCACACTTGCTGACGGCTACACGCACAACTCCTGAACAGCATCATTCTCTATCACAATTCACGTTAGGTCTTCGAGCAGTGCGAAAAATGTATACGGATGAATGTTGCAGTTCTTTCGCACCGTACATAGCCAACCGCGCTAATCACCGCATCTGAAAGCATGCGATGCGGTGATTGTTTTTGATAGATAACCAAAAGGTGCTGAGAGGATGACCAGAGTTTCACGTGATGGTCTATGCTCCTTGACGAGATCAGCGAGGCATTGTGGTTCATTTGTGGCAAGCCAAATTGTGGAGTGAAGAGTGCATGGGCATCGAGCCGCCCGTGGTCGCGTCGGGCGTGCGACGACGTACCTGGAAGGCGGCTTGCGCCTGCTCGTGCTCGTTCTCCGACTCTAGGAAGGGCAGGAGGTCGCTGACGGCTATGCGCCCCGCTTGCGCCAAGGTCGCCTGCTGCTCCCGGTTATTGTAGGCGAAGACGGCGAGGGCGTAGCCCGCACGCAGCCGGACCGCCTGGGCGAGCGGAATGATCGGGGACCGTCGTAAACAACCCCTCCTCAACCCCCCCCCCCTACCGGGTGTGTGGGACAATACAGGTAAAGGTGCAGCCCTGCAATTTTTTGCTCACGCCACTGCTGGCAGAAGGGCCACCGCTGGAGAAAGCTCTGGCGAGCCTCTTGCACACTGGCCAGGTAGTACTGTACATCGCTTTTTCACTTTTAATTTGGAATTCATTACTTCAAATACCATATGTAAAACAATTAAAGTTGATTCATTACTGTATTTAGCAAAGGTCCGTTGCTGTTATACCAACACCTCCTTTTCAGCAAATCAGCATGTGAAACAGTCTCAAATTAAAACATTCAGTGAAATCTCTTTTTTTTTAAACGGACAAAAGAAAACCACCACAAGCATTGGTTTTGCGATTCCCGCGCATGTTCTGTGACTTGGCGGTTTAGCTAACAACACGTGTGTGTATCTCATGAATTCTATACAGTACACGCAGATAACCCACCACGAGAACCTCATTAATGCACTCAGTATTGCGAGTGCACACTCATTAGATTATTCAGCCGGCCCTGACATCAAAACACTTAAATTCATCACATGATCAATAAATATAGGAATTTACTCTTTCCTTTGCCTAACACTGCCTCTATCTACACATTAAATGTGCACACTGTGTACATCCTTATGAGATATCTACACACTTGGATGCTATATAAATCCCAACTGTATTGTGTAAACCAACTGTATCTGTTGGAGCGCTTTTGTTCTTTTGAATTTGTGTAGTTTATTTTTTTAAGTTTTGGCCGCCCATCGAGCACGACCCCTGCTCACCCTGTCCGGATGCTCCAGGAGCTCCAGGATCACGTCGTAGTTGAAGCCATCCTTCTCCATCATCTTCTCCTGGACCTCGTGGTTCTTCAGCAGGACGTAGGCCAGCGTGCACGCCGCCTCCACCTGCACGCCACCACCAGCGGCACGCACGCACTGGCATCCAGCACATCCAGCCACCGAGTGCAACTACCCAACCCAACTGTGGCTCAGCCAGCTACCCAGCCATCCATAACAACCGCCCATCCCAGCCACACCACTCAGCCAGCCATTCAGCCACTCAATTACCAAACCACCCAGCCACCCAATTATCAAATTACCCAACCAGCCACCGCTCAATCAGCCACTCAAATCACCCAGCCACCCAGTATAACCTCTCACCCAGCCACTTCACTAACTATTCAGCTTCTTAGCCACCAAATGCAACCAGCTGCCTCAGACTGCAATTAAGGGACCCAGTCATCTACCTAACAACCCAGCCACATAGCCACCCTTATATTCTACTTTGATGAAAAAGTTTCATGTACTATTTGGATAGTTGCATTTCAAGTGCCTGAATAGTGCAGAGGTAGGAACAGTGGTGGTGCAGGTGGTGTTGTGCTGAATGATGGTGGTGGTTTGTCGAGTGTGGTGAGTGAGACTGGTGTGCGCGAGGCATCAATGTGATGGTGCGAGTAAGGTGGGGCTCTGGTGATACGGCGCTTGCCTTGATGTTGGGGTTGGCGTGAGTTGACAGGAGCCGCAGCAGCTCGGGAATGGCCTGCTCCTCCTCCACCTTGTTCTGGCTGAGCCGCGTGTTCACATGGGCCACACCTGCCGGCACCGCGCGCCCACTCCATGAGTACCCACCGTGCCCTCACCACTCCGGGTCGATTCGCTAAATTAATTACTGGGTCACGTTTTACTCAAAAACCATATATCTATAATCTTCCTCATATGCTATCCCAATTGTGCTCTCAGTGCCCCTACATCGCCGCGGTGCTTCCTCGCGGCCACACTCGCTCACCCACGCAGAGCGCCCCGAGCGCGGAGACGGTAGCTAGCAGCGTCCGCTCGGTGGTGCGCGGGGTTCGCAGCAGCCGCACCAGCGGGGCGACGCCGTCTTCACGGCAGATCTGCTCCTGGTGGGCGCGGCCCTCCCGAGCCATCGCTGCCATCGCGTGGCAACCTGCGCGCGACAGTGGAGATGCGTAGATGTGTGTACCACAGTGTAGGTTGCGTGCCCGTGCGTGCGCGACCGGTGAGATGTGCGATTGGGGGGATGTGCAGGGAGCCGTTGGTGCCGTGGTGTCGGCACGTGCGACGCGCGAGGCTGTGTGCGGTGTCGTGAGCTGCGGTGACCGAGTCGACGCGCACCGACAAACTGCAGCTTGTCGGAGGATGCGAGCAGCATGTCGATGATGAGACGCAGGCCAACCTGCAGCACCACGGCCGCCTGCTGGTGCTGGGTTCCGCCCGCCAGCGCCCACAGCGCCAGCGCCCCATGCTCCCGCACCTCCAGCTGGAACACCTGGGCGAGCCACATGCAACAAGCGCCGTTAAACAACGCCAGCGCTGCCTCCTTGTCTGCGGGCAACCTGTGGGCATCGCCACCAGCGAAGCCGCACAAGGGCTGCCTGATGTCTGATCGTGCGACCCTTTGCTGTTTTATAAATCATTGTCGCCCAGGTCTCCATTGAAAATGAGACTCCTCGACCCGAGTTCTTATCCACCCTAAATAAAGACGACCAATCAATCAATAGATCAAAATATTTTTGGACACTCAATCCAACAGTGGATTGATCACTGCTGATGATGATGACACTGGCGGAGCCAGTGGGGGGGGGGGGGGGTGGGGTGGCACGTGCCCCCCCAATGATCCGATCAAAATCCCTAATTTCGATCGGATCATTGGGGTTTATTAGTAATAAATCGGCATTTTGCGACTCCCACTACCACTGTGTAGCATATTATTACTTGCCAGGGACTCTATGAGGTGATAGGACAATAGTGAGTCCATAATTGGCAATAAGTAACGGCAAAGCAGTTATAAGTGACTCGCAGTTGCGTATACAGTTCACGACATCCCTTAAGGCATTCACCTTCAGTGAGCGCGATGCCGATCACACAACGCGGTTCGAATTTGACCCTCGATCGATGGCTGAGCCATCGCCGCACACGCGTCGAATAAAAAGCAAGGGACAAGTCCTTACTTACCAACAACTCCTCTATCATATTTCATTGCTGGAGGGGTTGCCCCCCCGACCTGAAAATCCTGGCTCTGCCATTGGATGATAATGTTCAATCCGTCAACCGGTCGCAAATTTAGACAAAAGTGAAACATTTGTAAGTGCAGTGCCCGATGTATATATATATCTTTTTTTTTATCCGAGACTTAAAAGTCGGAATTCACCTTGAGAAGACGCAGCAGGGGTTGGGTGACGGACAGTGCCAAGAAGTCACGCTGGATGCCGGGGTTGCCGTCGCACAGCGCCTGGAGCGCCACCGCCGCTCTCACCTGCTCCTCCGTGCGCCGGCTACACACGAGCCGCGCCAGCGCCGCCAGCGCGCCCCCGGCCGCCGCCGCCGCCTGGTTCCCTTCGTGGGCCCTCGTGACGGTCGCCAGGGCCAGTGCTGCAGCGGCCTGCAGGCTGTCTACGGACGGCAGCAGAGCAGCGGCCACGGTAGAGTTAAGGTGGTGCAGGGGGTATCCTGGGGCAGAAGCGTCGGTACAGAATAGCTGACTAGAAGACAACTGCCCAGGTGTTTTACCGGGTTGTGCTGCGTGCTGTTCGGCGTGTAGTCCGACGTTTTGTTCCACGTGTCAAGAGCTTCTTCAGGAATTGGTTTCAGAACTGAATTGACTCTTCACACAACCTAATGATTGTTTTTCCTTTGATATTCATGAATCTACTTGGGTATTAATTATGTTTTAAATTGTGAGTCACTTGAATTATGTGTTCAATTTTATATTAAAACAGAAAGTGCCTTCATGATGAAAACATGCTTCCTGGTCTGAGCTCGTATCCACTGTTTCTTGCAATGCTTTAACCCACCATCGGTTACTCTTCAACTACAAAAGCACTATGACAAATTTTTCTTGTCCTGCTCTTGGGCACAATGTGGTGCGCCGCTCGCTGGAGATTCCCGAACAGAACGCCCTTCGGCTCGCTACGTGACGCTGACTGCGCAATCCCACGGGCGTGGGGGGTGGAGGCCCGCACCTGAGTCGAGTCCGAGGAACTCGACGAGAGGACCAATGCCACCCTCGCGCACCACGGCCACCTGGCATGACGGGTCGCCGTCGCACATGACGCGCACGGTGTCCACGACGTTCACGAGCACGCCCTCGAGGCTGCATCGCTGGGTCAGTCGCACCAGTGCCGCGATCCCTTTCTGCCCAGGCACACACAAAGAGAAAGATTCCCCGTATAGCCTTAACAGACTGTTGGGGCAAGTGCAGTTAGCGAGCACCTATGAAGGCCGGCATGGCACACAAGGGAGTGGGTGGCCGACACTGCACCCGGCCGCCTTTGTCTTCCTAGTGGCGATGTTTATATATTTGTGGCTGAGTCGACCTAGGGGAGGCCCAGGACCGGTTCAGAAAATCGTCACTGGTGTTGACCGTGAGTGGGAATCGAAGTCGGGTCGCCAGGTTCGTAGCGCAGAGCGCTAACCACACACACACACGCGTACGCACTGGAAAATCCCGAACGTTGTAAAAGCAATGTTGGACGATGCAAGTTTTAAATAATTTGTTTTTATAACAAAAGGCCAAATCAGACTTTCAAATGCAACACACCTTGATGTTATCCAATAACCCCGCGGTGACGAGATGTTATCTACACTCACCTGTACATTTGAATTTTCCGTCATGTGGATTTTTTCTCCGGTTTTGCACATTTTGGAACGTGCATTTAGATTATTTGGCGCTGCTATAAATCCCGCATATGTCAAGCCACTTTGATGAGCTGTCACGTGTGGCCAGATCGCCTCTGAAAAAGAGCTAATAGCTCCAGTGGGCTTTACCTGGTAAATGGACCTCCGACGAGCACGTTTGGCTACGTACATACGTGCAATTGTGGCACCACCCGGCTGCCACCACCCGGCTGCCGTCCTCACCTCCCGGGCGATGGCGTCGCGGTGGCCCAGGGCGGCCGCGTCGCCCAGCACGACGGCGCAGCGCGACTGCAGCTCCCCACGCGCCGTCGAGCCCAGCAGCCGCACCAGCACGGGGATGGCGCCGGCCGCCACGGCCGCATCGCATGCCTCCCCGTGGTCGGACACGTTGCAGATGACCGACGCCGCCAGGCACGTCACCGTCTCGCTCTCACTGTCCAGCAGCCGAACCAGCTCGGGCATACCGCCTGGCACGACGAGCCGCCAGAGAGAAATGCACCCACCAGGCGGTGCGTTGTTTCGTCGGTTTTTTGTTCGTTGACGTGTCGAATGTCACGCTGGCCAAGGTGATTATTATGTTGTTATTGTTATTACGCTCGTTTACCCAGGAAAGCCTCACTGAGCCTCATTGAAAGAGAGCCTCTTAGCTCAGTGGACCTTGCTCGATTCTATTCATCACGAACTGACCTTAGATTCGATCTCTTGGCGCAACAATGTGCAAGCTTAATCGTTTTCTGTTACGATGGGTTATTATTGTAATTTCCAGATACGAATGGGAAAGTTTATTACATCCCCCCCCCCCCCCCACCTATGCCCAATAAGCAGTCTAAGTTGGTATCTCACGGTTTGCAAATCTGCACCTCACGTGGGATAAAGTATGTGTACCCCCACCTCTTGCAAGATGTCTGACCAGTATGGACGAGTCGACCAAATACCCTCTACAGCAGCTCTCTAGAACTCCACCTAGTGGAGGAAATTCCACCAGGAGTGGCGTTAGCGAGCAATAGCAGCGCTGTGCCAATTTAACCGGCCGAGTTCAACTATTCCGGGTGTAGCACGACACACCTGCTTCCAGCAGGTGTCTCCAGTTGTCCGTCCTATGCTCGTATCTGTCCCGCGAGACACACAGCACCTCCAGGCACCGTGCAGTCATCTCAACCTTCTCGATATTTTCATCGCCCAACATCCCTTGGGGGCACAGAAGCAGGGTCATACTCTTACATATGATGGCGGTTTCATGCATCAAGGCGCTCTTAATAATAATATTGTAACTCACAGTCAGTGCTATTTTAGTGGGGTGACACCGCTGCTATTCACGAGTAATATATTTCTGTCTCCAGACTTTCAGTTTTTTGTCCTCTAACAGGTATCAAGAGAAAGTGAGATTTACCAAAGAATGAAACTGCAATATGATGACAACTGTATGATTCACAACCACGTTCACAAATGCTTGCAATGGCAGCGTCTGTGTTCTCGTGCGTGCATGTCCGTGTGTGCCTACCTCTCTGCCCCTGTGTATCCATCCCCGCACATATCTCTGGGTCCTCTGCGTGCGTGTGCGTATGTTCCGGCGTCTGCGTGCATGCGTCCTGGCGTCCGCGTGCCGCGTGCGCTGTTACCGACGAGCAGGGCCCACACTGGCAGCTCGGGCAGCTGGAGTCGAGCCAGGTGCTGCAGCACGTCCGTGTGCAGGCCGGCGACGGCCACGTGTGCCGCCGTTTTCCCGCAGTCATCGGCACCCGTGGCTTCCGCGCCCAGCGCGAGGAGGCAGCGCAGGGTGTCCAGCGAGCCATGCGCCGCCGCCACCAGCACCGGCGTCGATCGGGGACTGTCGGCCGCAGCGATGCCGTGAAAGAAAGAGTGGCACCCCCTCAACACTGGTGTTAACGACGGGTTCATATTGCAGTTCTGCCAAACTACTATACCATGCTCCACTCTGTTCGAATGTTAAACCTGATCTGCTAACCTTTCACTCATCACAAATGAAACACGATCAAAACCCAATGAAGGACGCTTCTGCTAGGCCGATGCAGTGGCACATTTACAGGGTTTAAACGGAGGCCAAACTTGCAAGCGCACAAGCGGACTCACGGGGTGGTGGCACGCGCCGTGAGCAGCGCGGGGTCGTGGTGGTGGAGCGCGCGGATCACCGGCTCGTGATCGTGTGCCGCCGCAAAGTGTGCCGCGGTCCAGCCGTGCCCCTCCGCCAGCGCCGGGTCGACACGCAGCGCGAGCAGGCAGCCCAATGCCTCCAGCGAGCCGTGCTGCGCCGCCAGATGGATGGGAGCGGGACCTGATGGGTAGAGGTTTCGGAGGACATGACAGGAAAGGACAGCCGACGGAACAAAGTAAACGTTTTGATTTATTACGCGGCCTCTCGACCAGGGAAGCCCACAGTGCCACAGCGGTCACCAATCTCAATCCAGGCAGAGTTCGTGGGAGAGTGCTGCCCACCCTCCCCCCCTGCTATGCGGGCCAGAGGTAGCTCTGTGGTATCCGCTTCTGGGGCCGTTCTCTAAGCTTTATCACTTCTCTTTGAGGGATTTTAATGGATGCCGATAGCCCAATCAGGATAAATTCAGGACAAAACTAAAAACTCTGAACCTATAAACTAAACCCAACTTTGCCACAAACAACCATACTCTACTTCCCCCTTTGTCGTTCGCGGCAATCAAAGCGGGGCATCGCGTCCCCATGACTAGACCCTCGGCCAGGCGTTAAAAAACGCTCGCGCTGTCCTCCGGCCGTGGCGTTGCGCGTTGTGCCAACCGTTGAGGCGTGGGTCGGGCCCCTCTGAGCGGCTCGGTGCTTGCAGGTCGGCGCCGGCGTTGGCGAGCAGGCTGAGCATCGGCGGGCGGTTGTGCATGGCGGCGTGGTGCACCAGCGCGAGGCCCCGCTCGTCCAGCGTGCCCAGTCGGGACGCGACCTCCCGGCGGCTCAGGGACAGGAAAGCCGCCACCAGGCCACCCTGGGTTGCCGCCCGGAGGCCCACCGGCACGCTCTGTACGTATGCAAGGCAACATGCAGGGCGGCACGTAGGTGAGACGAACAGAAAGTGGCGGCCGAACCGTTGCGGTGCCCGAGATTGGTGGGTTGATGAAATCACTGGTTTTGCCATGAATGTACTTGGAAATTGCAGTGCAGAAAAGAAAAGATTTAAAAGACAATGCACGCAAGTGGATTGATTCAAATGTGATAGTAATTTCTCTTACTTACGTGCAATTTTAGTTTTACAAGGAATTTTTATTTCGAAACTTTGATAGCGCTCTATATACAGTAGTGTAGATTATCTTCGGCATACGCCCTGGTGCTAGGAATTAAATGGGGGACCCCTGGTCCAATTATCTTCATAGCCCATCTCATGGATACCTCCAGCAGTGGGCCCTGGTGCAGTTGCACCACGTGCACATTCAAGGAATATGCCACTGCCTTACATGTATGTTGAACTTCTTTCTCGCACCGTACATAGCCAATTGTGCAATGTATATTTTCTGGGTCCTAGTTTAAGTACGACACCAATGCAATTACCGGTACATTTTCATTGTATCTCCATGTAATGGATATCGTAACACCATTCAATAAAACTTAATCTCCTGCACTTCACCAATCTGCACATCAGGTTACATATGGCTAAATGAATAATTGTAACAGCGATTACCCCTAAAAGCAAATTAAACACTATACCCAAAATGCCGAACTTTATACGAGACATTGTAGTGCATGTGTGTTTGTTCGTTTGTGGGGAGCAGTTGTGTACAGTAGTGTACCGGTCCTGGGCATCACCTAGGTCGACTCAGCCTTAAATTAGTTTCTAGTCTGTTGTTTATCACCAAGGGGATGCATGTAGCCACGTGTCATACTGGCTACACTGCTCCCTAGTGTGTCATACCGGCCTTAATATTTGATCGCTAACATAACTTGTCCCAACAGTCTATGCAGGCTTTTGGAGGAAAAATCTTTGTCAAGGTGAACGCTGCCACTGGGCTTGTAATGCAGAGGTTGTCAAGTTTGATCTCCCGGCATGGCAGTTGAAACAATGTGCAAGTGTTCAATTCCCCCTGCGTGTGTTCACACAGCAATATAAATGGGTACACGACTGTTAAGTCGGTCGGCAAGGTCGTGTACGGTGGTGGGGTAAAATGTGAGTACATCCTCCTTTTCTAAGATGTCTGACCAGCGTGGGAGAGGATGTGAAATTCTATCCAGAGAGACTCTCTAGAGCAGGGGTGGGCAAATTTTTTGACTCGCGGGCCACAATGGGTTCTAAAATTTGACAGAGGGGCCGGGCCAGGAACAGATGGATGGAGTGTTTGTGTGAACTAATATAAATGACGTGTAAACATCATTACATGAAACGATTTGGCCTTTAACAGGTAGCAAAGCATTTATTTGCAAGGCAATTTAACAAATTGCACGAACATGAACAATACAAAAACATGTCATAACTCCCAGTCAAAGTGCGCCATCTAATGGGGAAATGGGGGCATTACAGGAGAAAGGTAAAATTAAATTTAATAATAATCATATTTGGACAAGTTCGGCGGGCCGGATTAAAAAGCCCAACGGGCCGTGTACGGCCCGGGGGCCGTACTTTGCCCATGTCTGCTCTAGAGCCCTCTCTAGTGGATGCCATTCCTCCACCAGTGAAGTGTGAGCAAGCAATTACAGGGCTGCACCTTGATAACTGTGCATGTGTGTACGTGTTTGTGTGCGTGCATGCGTGCCTTGTAGCGGATGGCTCTGCGGTATCCAAACCGCTGCTTGAACTGCTCATGGATGATGACGTCGCTGAGCGGGAGGCGGCGCAGGCGGAGCGAGTCGACCAGCTGGCGCAACGCCCCGCACCACCACGGCCGCCCCATGTGTGGAGAGAAGGGCTCCAGTGGCACCGAGATCACCTGGTACCTGGGCGCGGCGCGCGAGCACCGCAGGGTCCATCATGCCGCGTGGAATTCTTGTGTTGTCTTTGTCCAGGCGACAAGAGCCGAGTCGAGTTGAGTTTGTTTAACCAGTGGATAACTCAAGCGGTCAGGATGGCACCACAAGGGACACTATCGCAAGACAGTTCGTAGCTCATTTCATGATAATTACTGTTACATTAATGAATTAGTGACTCCACAGAAGATTGTCCTATTGAGAAACACATATTTTCAAGAGAAATGTGAAATTTCCACCACTGGCTTGTGGCATCCAAAACAGATGATCACCACCCACCCCATGCCCATTGGAAAGTATAAACACATTGACTTTGCAAATCCACTGCTTAATGAAGGCTTCCCCATGACATGTCAGTCATAGATATTGTTTCGCGAGGCCTTCATTCCTGCATTGGATTGAAGATGATGATGACGATGGTGAGTGTTCAAGGACAGTATAGATACCACTCACGACTCATGCTAGCCATGGCCATAATTTCAATGCGCTAACTACAGCGCCAACACTCCACTGCCCACAACGGCTCGTGAGCAACAATTCACTCGAGGTGGGAGTGATGACACCCTGAAAAAACGATCACTTACGTTTCATCCCCCACGACGATGGTGGGAAAGGGGTGGCTCTCCCTGTAGGGAGCGTCTGGGTCCAGCATCTGGAGGAGATGAGAACTCCCCGAGTGCTGGATCTCCGCATATCGGCCCTGCAGCACCGATCACCACCCGACCACTGCTGGATAAAGACCTCCCTAAGCCATCACCAGCTCTCTCGTGGTATTGGATTGTTGCATCAAAAAATCCGACGAGAATTATCATTTCCAGCCCTTTGTCAACTCACGTTTGTTATTGTTAGGTAACATGGATTAACGGGCACTTATAACCACAACAGGTTGCAAAGGCCATATTAATTTCCTTGGGGTGCGTGACCGTGTAAATATTTTTGATTCATAAATTGGATTAAATATGACATTGAATGCCGCTCCTCGGGGAGTGTCTTGACATTTGGAATAGTCGATACACTGAGGAATAAGGCATCTTTCCATGCTTTAAATAGCTGCATCATCGCTACAAACCTTTCCCACGGCCTTACATCCTGCCTCTACCTCTTTTTCTACATTTTCCCATATCAATTTGGATTTAGATAGTGTCTACATGCAGCCGTTTCTCAAGGTGCTGCACAGACACAGTGGTCATTTTTGTTTTGCAAAGAAAGGCAGTTGGTTATAGGCTCAGGAAAAGAGGAAGGCCGAGAGCCTGGACTTGATCACAGGCAGGGGATCGACAGCACAGATGGCCGCAGAAGAGAGTTCCAGACTGTGGGGGCAGCAGAAGAGAAAGAGTGACTGACCCGTCCAAGACCTACATCTTGACTGACCAATGTCATGCTTTCCATGTATCAGTCACAACTGAAACATCTATAGGCTAGCTAATTTGGCTGCCAAGTCTCACACATAGAGGCTGTAGCTACTAGTCACGTGCCACCTACTCCAGTCTACCAGCGACCCGGAAAATATTCGGTGGGAAACGAAGGCCTGCTCGTACCGCGATGTCTGGGTCGATGTTGCCGAGGGGTGGCGTGCTGAGATCGAGCTGCACGGAACCGTGCAGGTGAAAGTAGCTCTGCTCCTCGTACAAAAAGTGGCGGCACGCAAAGTCGGGGCCCAGGACCAGCGGTGGGAACTCTGACTCCGTCTTGAGTTTCTCCTCTGAAGGACAGAGCGCACATCACGCGGGATTCCTCATCTCAACGAAGCTATTTCTGATGACAGTTATGGTTCAGACCGCGTGTGTATACATCTCCATCACTGTCATCGTTTTATCAGGGTTAAGAGCGCGGTAGAATAGGGTGGGGATTGGAGTACAGATGAGTGGGGGAGAGGTAGGAGAGCGCGTGGATAGGAGGGTGAGATGAGAGCAGAGAGGTAGGAGAGCGCATCGATGGGAGGAGAGTGAGATGAGAGGGGTAGGCAGTGGCGAATCCATGGATGATTTCGAGGACGGTGAGAGCGCAATCGTAAAAAAATTATCTGGGATTGACACAGTCCCTAAGTTTCAACTCATGCAGCTGAGCAGCCTGGCAGCGGCGCACAACTCCTCTTACCGGTGAGCGGCGGCAGCAACCGACCCAGGTTGGGCACCTTCATCCGCCGCTTGAGCGCCAGCAGGATGGGCGTTAGGCACGCCACGAGGCCTAGCTGATCGAGCAGCGTTCGCGTCTCGGCCTTGCGTGGCAAGTGTGCGCGCATCAAGCGCCGGTGCGTGGCCAGCCGCCGCTGCAGCCGGCGCCGGATCCGGGGAGGCGGCTCCGCCTGCTCGTCGCTGGGACGGAGGCCCCCGTCCACGTCCCAGCGGGGCTCGCACACAAAAAGGCCATGGTGCTGAGCGACTGAGGCCACCGCCACAACCAGGCCCAGCCACGCACCCTCCGAGTGCTCCGTGAAGAGGAGGCGCTCGTCGGCGCTGTTGACCTCGTACGAGGGGTCAGCCACGCCGTCGTCCTCATAGATCCCGGCCCAGTCCGGGTCTTTGGCCACGTCGATCATCCCTGTGCCGTTGCGGGCAAGAAACGAGGTTAAGTGGCCTCTTCTTCGTTACGTGGTGTGCTCACATCACGTGTTCACCTTCGTAAATGAAAGGGATGGTGTGGAAGTACGAAGTGCCGGTATACATTGACCGAACCCGGAGCTGATGTGGATGGATAGATGAGTCACCTGTTTGTGTCCGTTTCATTGCAATGCAGTTATAATATGAATACATAATTTTAAATGTTTACGAATGTGAAATTGCGATTTTGTTGAATACAGGTAGTTTCAATATTGGGCAAAAGAGTGATAGTTTCATCATGGATAACATGTTGACCGATTGCATTAACGGCAAGCATAACGTGTTCACCAATCTGCACTGACCAGCGTGGTTAAACATTGTCAACAAGCCCGCATTACCGAACCGGCGTAGGAAGGCTTTTTAACAAAGGGCTGTAAAACTATTGTAGTATTACCATGAGTGTGTAGTGAGAGGACAAGATCGCTTCACAACGTATGCTCTTGTCCTCTCTCCCTCTCTCTATTTGCTCCCCTGTGGCCTCCTCGATCCTCGCTGTCAACTGTAAAATTCAAGATCAAGACTCATAGGCAAAGCTGCTGATGCCTCCACACCTCACCAGCTCCTATTACCTTCTGGCAGATCCGCAGCTGCCGAACAGTAGACACGCAACCTTCCAAGATCTCCCCTAACAGTATCCCACCATGTGGTCATAGATCTTCCACTTGGTCATCGGATTTGTGGAGACCACTCCAATGCCTGTGTCAATAACTGGCCCTTCTCCATCCTGCACCCATGTCCTCCCCAGCATAACCTTTGTTCCTAATCATATCTACAACACTTACCTGCCACATTCTCTTTTGGACTCCACATTGTTTATTCTACCTGGCCACAAAATTCCCTGAATCTCTCACTCCATCGTCACTTAACCCAGCCAAATAGAACCGGTAAAAATGAGTCCTTGTTTCCCTTTTTTGTATTTCGACTCTATCTTAACAGGTGTGGTAGTTACGCACCGGCCGAGGTGAAGTCTTGCAGGATATCCTTATCCTCCTGCGTGCGCCGCATGCTGTCCAGCTCCAGGCCCGCGCGCCAGTACTCCCCAAACCGCACCCGCTTCTCGCGGCCCATGTGCGCCCCGTGCCACAGCGCCTTGAGCGTGTAGTCCACCTCGGCGAGCACCTGACCCACCCTCGTGTGGACGTATGCGGGCGGCAACTGGCACACCGTGCTCCTGTCGATCGCGGGCTCCATGCTCACGCCGGGTGCCTGATTGAGGCCGTACAAGCCAAGCGTGAGCTCTCGTACCATCTGGTGGACCTCGCGCGCGTCTAGCGGGGGCGGCCCGTCCTTCCGCAGAGGCCACAGCAGCTGCAGAATCTCGGTGGAGGCGCCAATTCCGGTCATCTGGCTGACGATCCCCGCGGGAGCCTCCCTGTTGGGCCTTGTGTCGTCTCCGGCAGGCAGCCACCCGCACGCGACGCCAGCCAGTAGCTCCTGCTGCTCGCCGCGACTCAGCCGCTCCACGAAGCTGGTAGCGTCCTGCTGCGCCGCTACCTTGGCCAAGTAAGCCGTCTTCTCGTCCTCCTTGTTTGCGGTCCGTGAAGCGCTAGCGGTGGCGGCCAAAGTCAGGGGGCGGTTGCCCCCGCCGCGGGTCACGCGGGATGAGGGCCGGCGACGCGGAGCTGGGGCCTCCACCTCCATGGAGACGGAGTCGGTCTCACAGGCACGGAGCACGAATTGTGATGTGGCGGGAGGGACGGACAATGCCACACCATGCGCCGACCAACACTGCAAAGCAATAATACAAAGGTGATCGATTTATGTGGAAATTATAGAGAAAACACAACTCTTAAATACACTAATTACATTTGTAAACACTGTGTAAGGTGTGGCGCCATCTCTTTGACCATATTCAAACGCCCGTTGAGAAGACGATAATTAGAAATGAGTGGGTATCTAAACATGGATCACACTGCATTCATAACTCTAGTTTATAAAGTATCTAAATTGAGGAGTTTTTGAAGACATGGCAAATGGCAATTACACAAAAAGTACTTTAAAAGGTTTATATTTATGCGCGGGTCCTTCTAAGTTAACCTACAGTTTTCATTGTAGATATACGTAAGAAAATGACAGATCCCTCCAAGTTTGTGGAGCAGCAGTGACAACATCTATCAAGTCCCGTATGAAGTGAACACAAAGATGTGCACAGCAGTGTGGGTATTTCCAAGATGGTGTTGAACGTTGTGTAATGTGCTGGGAAACATAAATGCCGAATGTAGTTTGTGGCAAAGGGAAATCCCGAACCGGCTGACATTTACAGGTGGGTCCTGCACTGGGATGTTGGGCCAATTTCATGAATTAGTGTTTGGTCAGTTGAAAGAAACCAGAGTACCCGGAGAAAACCCTATGCAAAAACATATCGGATTGATTAAAAAAACTCAAAAGATGCACTACCAATCTCGCCGCTGAAGCCAAACAACACTTTGGCACTATCAGTCAGCATACTGTATTACTATGCGATGTTTTAAACCACGGTATACCCACGGTATTCATGTCGGTTAAATAAACCGTATTAACGAGTCGTCAGTTGCACAGCAACTGCATGCAAAGCCGAGGCCACTGCCGCTCCACGTTAAATTGCTCATCTTAGTAAATTCACAGCAGCACAGAACTTGCTGCCAGTTTAATGGGACTCGCAACAACCCCATTGGGTTATGTCGGTGTGCTGTGTACATTTAACAGTATGATGAACACACACGTCCTATCTGGGGTGGGTATTATCGTGTTTACTGTTAAGAGTATCGATGCATCTATGTATTTATTACTATTGCCGAATATCCATTCTTAAGCTCTCATGATGAGCGCTTGTAAGCATCTGTTATTCAAATCGTATATAGTAGTAGTCCACTAGTGGCCTGCTACATTTACCAGAGTTGAAAAAATAATCGATTATTGGATAGGTTCGCGCGGCCCTTTGTTTGCAATGTACATGCTATTAATATAATTTTAAACTTAGGCGAATGCAGGACGATGCACTCCAGTGCGAGTTCGAGTCCAGACCACGGTTAACCTCAGTGTCGTCGAATGATACCTGAACCTGTCCTAGGCAGGCCCTCTTCCTCCCTTACCTTCACAAACCCGCACCGACCAGCGTGGTGAAGTATGGTCAAGCAACACCAACCAATGGAGACAGAATACACCCGTGGCCAGTGACACAGACCCACCCTCCCCGCTCTACTATAGCCTTAACAGGCTCTTTGGAGCAAGTGCTGTTAGCGAGTATCAATTATAATTATAAAGGTTGGCACGGCACACCACAAGGGGTGAGTGACCAGCATCACGTCCGGTCCGCCTTTGTCTCCCCGGGTGTCGATGCTTACAGAACGCACCGGGTTCTCACTTGAGGCTGAGTCGCCCTTGGATGAAGCCCTGGTTCGGTGCAGATACAATCGTCAATGGTCCTTGGCCGCACCGAACTAGGGCCCTGGAACCCGGGTGTCGCAAGGGTTCAAGTAGCGCGCTGACCTCTGCGCCACCGCTCCCACGCAAACACTCGGCAAGGCCACCAAACTCACGCGACACAACTCAAAATCCCCTTCGTACCGTTCCTCCCGCTCCGCCCGTTGATCGTTACAAAATGCGGCGAATGTCGGTAGGAGCGTTCACGAGACGTTCGTCAGTAGCCGACAAGCAGCAGCAGCAGCATCAGCCAGCAGTGTGCACGCGACACGCACTTTGACAGCTCGAATAACAACACAGACACAGATAGACACAGAGAGAGAGGTCACAAGAGCGGTGGTGCAGTGGTCAGCGCACTGCTAAGATGAACCCGGTGGCGCTACGGCTCACATCAGTTTGCGGTGATGGACATCCAAGCCAATCCTGACTCTCCGCTTGTCCAACCATCCACCAACGGAGGAGGCCGCACTGACCAGCGTGCTGAAGTATGGTCAACCAAAAGCGCTCCGGACCGAGAACTTCATCCAGCAGCGGGTTGACAAAGCGGATGCGGCTCATTCTTGAAACGACTGGCTACTGTTGCTGGCAATCCAATAGAGGCAAAACCGCGGTGGTTTGTCATTGCCGATTGCGTTGAGTTGTCCTTACCTCGAGTGCTCGGCTCTCGTCACCCCCTCTCTCTCTCCCCACACACACACAGAGGGTGGCGTCTCTGTCCACATGGCAACGGCTTTGGCCCGTGCTGTTCTTCCTCCTCCTCCTTCGCCGCCGCCACCTCCAACCTCAACTTTGTCGTCGTCAGGGGTCAGGGGCAGAGACGCGGGTGGGTGGGTGGGGGGTCTGTGTGTGTGTCGAGTTGTTTATACCAGGGCGACATTCGCTCCCACGGGGCGTGACACCGGTTATTTATATTTATTATTATTATTCCGCCGCTTGTTTACCCGGGAAGACCTTCCTCAAAACTCTTTTTCATAGAGGTTCCGTGCCAAGTCTTTTTTTCCCCCACACATTAATGAGTGATGATGTCTTTTTTGTCTAATCCCCTTGGCAGGCATGTGGTTTTTTTTCAACACTGGAATGTTTGGCAAATACAGGGGTGCCTCTGCGGATGTGTATGCTTTAACTTTTAACATAGCCATTTCTGTGACCAGTCACAAGCTAATCACTCAGCCATTCCAATGCTAAATTCTATGCTAATTCCTTTTGTCAAGGCGCTTTGTTTCCTCTCACACAGCTTAAAGGTCGTGATCTGAACGTGGCTTTTTTCACTCCAGCGCTGTCCTACCAGACAGTCTCGTCCCTTCACCTGATGAAGGCCGCTTGTGTTGTGGCCGAAACGTCGTGAGAATATTATTGTGTTATTTTATTTTATCAATTTATTATTTTATTCTCATTCTACGTGACTTTACCGAAAGAACCAAAGAAGAAGAAAAATACAGTACAGTATATATTTTACCTCCAACACCATCGAGACTACCGAAATCGCACTTTTCATTCACAACGCCACAGTCGAAACGACCCACGGGACACAAGCAGTCACCACCGGGTACACTCTGCACACCAATAGCGCATCGCGACATTAAGGTGTGGAACAAATATAGCATTGATCTTCTTGGTTCTTTCGGTAAAGTCACGTAGAATGGAAATATTTTATTTTTATTTGATAATGTTTTATTTTTATAATTTTATTTCCATTCTATGTGACTTTAACCAAAATAACCAAGAAGATGAATCCCTGCAGTCACGCAAAGCTTTAAATCGAAATTTAAATAAAGCGTTGGTTTAGCCTCCCAAGACGGCAAATTAATCGACGGAAATTCGCGAAGGAATGGAATTGTGTCAACGCGCTTGGAATTGGACATCTGTTGTGAATAAATTGTGTATGTCATAAATGACACCCGGTAGTTATGGAAGCCAAGGAGGCTGGATGGCTAAGGGGCTGAATGTCATCAGGGCAATGAGCTGACATCGACTGCAAATAAACTGGGTGACTGACCAATGACTGTGGAAAACAAATAATCATCTAAAAAATTAGGTTTTCACTCAATTCAGTATGTTTTCCAAGCCATGTGGTGTTATTATCGTGCGATGAGCACGCCTATAGTAGGGCATGCGATAACGTGCACCACCGCGTTAACGTGACTTTCAGAAATGTCACTTTCCGCAGGCCTTTCTCAAACAATGGTCGAAACACTTCTCTATCAGTGTTCCAAACAGACATTTCCTTGTCTCATCGCATAACTTTAACCGGACGACATGAGCTGGATTGCCAGCCAGGGCTAATATCAGTCGAGAGTATTATCTGAGCTGGTCCTTGGGCCCCCTCCCTGCCTTCACCAATCCACACTGGCCAAGACGCGGGGAGACCATCGTGCAGTGAATTGTATGTGTGTTGAACTTCATTCGCACCGTACGTAGCCAACCGTACTAATCGGAGGTGCAGGGGGAACAACAAACAACACAAAAGCAGTTCTTAAAGAAAGTATTTTTAGATTTAAAAGTGGCTTCCTAATATCGGAAGAGCCTTTCAGACGGCCGCAGAAGAGCATTTGAAAGCGTGCGATGCAGTGACCGTCTTTGTTCGATGGTTATTCGTGGATTTATTTTGATACCAAAGTGTTTTCGGGTGGTGCAAAAGATTTGAAAATGGATGTGCACTGGTAAAAGGTGACGAGGATGTTAGTTCATTTGATTTGTTACGTTTGGTAGTGTGCGGGGATGACCACTCTGTCTCCCCGCTATACTCCGCTATCTCTCTCACTCAATACTCCGCTAACCTGTCCTGCTTCCCTCACACCTCCACCCTCGTACCTGCCCCCAGCAGGGGATCAGCCAACACTGCTGGGGAGGACGAGGTGAGGAGGGCGAGGTCCCGGGCGTCTTCTCCCCGACTCTTGTCTTCTTCATCCCTTGAGCACCAACCAACTCCCCGTGCTGCTCCGCACACTCCCTTATATATCCATCTTCATTTGGGGTCCTCACTTAACCCCCATTAAGCTGGCGCCTCTGGCACGCTCTCTCTCTTATCGCCTCCATCTCCCGCCTCTCCGGCGTCTACCCCCGTGTTCCAACGCTCGCACCTGCTCGTCCCCAAATGCACCCGCTAAATGAATGCTTCTCCCCAGAATTGCTGCCGCCTCTCCGGCGCCTAATCCATGCCTTCCCGCTTACCTCTGCGCGACCTCGGTTGTGCCCTCTCTCTGATAACCCCGCGCATTACGCCACTCCACATGGATGATCCTAGCCACGTGCCCGACTATGTTGCAAAGGAGATCCGTGGCGAGTGAGCACAGCAACTGCAGATGTCCTGAAAGTAACTCACTAAATTAATGCTTTCTGACATGAAGGTGTTACAACACCGATGGGACAGACACGTATGTGTAGCGTAAATGGAGGTGCGGAGGGAAGGACAACTAACTAAACACAAAAAAAACTGTTATAAATAAATGAGTTTTAAATCTATATATTTTTTTTATGATGAAAGGATGTTAAATGAAGACATATTTCTATTGAGCAAGCTTATCGTTAAGAGTTCAGTTGCTATGGAGATAGCACGATGGGATCAGCTGATGTGCAAGAGTGAGAAGAATAGTGACATTTCAGAACCACGAGGGATGGCAACGGTGTGGGGAGGCTTTCAAACAGTAGTGGATAGACCATGGCTCATGGTGATGGTGAGAATACCTTTACCTATTCACGTGAACGCCTACACATAGATATTCATCTATTTTGTGCGTGCCTGCGTGTACCGTATTTCCCCGCATATAACCCGCAGACGCATATACCCCGCAAAAATAGCGTTTTGTGTAAAACAAATTTCAGATAGCCCGCACCTCCATATACCCCGCATGCATTCATATATTTAACGTCGTTACCGCAGCTTAATTCCATCATATTCATACCAAGTTTACATTTGTAAAACATTCCACTATCAATTGTTAACATTAAAATCATAACGTGCACAAAGAAAGCAAACTAACCGGAAACGAGTGAACTTAAAACAGTAAATAAGTAAGAAAAGTAAATATCCAATAAATCAGTAACACATAGCTGGTAGATAAGTAAGTACAGTTTTAGCACTGGTAGAGTGCGCACTGCGCAGATAATAGCGGCACTACGGTAACGCCGTCGCCTCGCCCCCAACCCCCCCACCTCTCTCTCCCCCCAGCTGCCCCCCCCACCTCTCTCTCCCCCCAGCTGCCCCACCCCCCCAACCCCCCCACCTCTCTCTCCCCCCAGCTGCCCCCCCACCTCTCTCTCCCCCCAGCTGCCCCCCCCCACCTCTCTCTCCCCCCAGCTGCCCCCCCCCACCTCTCTCTCTCCCCCCCGCTGCCCCCCCCCACCTCTCTCTCTCTTTTTTAGATCAGAGGAAACAAGAAGATGCTCGGTGTAGTCGGCACTTTGCTTCGTTCATCATTTAGTTTTTTTTAATGCTTTTCTTTATGTAACCCCCCCCTTTTTAAATGAAAGATTTAACAAAAGATTTCTCGCTCTGCTCTCCTTACCCCTTCCCTCTCTCTCTCTACGCCCCTCTCTGCCCCCCTCTCTCTCTCTCTACCCCCTCTTCCTACTCCATGTCGCTCTCGCTCTCTCACTCTCTCTCGCTCTCTCTCTCGCTTTTTTGTAACTACAACAAGTGCTGCATTTGCACGCAGCCCTTCCCACAGTCAAACGGCCTCCGACGGGTAGCTTATATCTGCATGCAGAGCTCTCCGTCATCTGCCACCGAGCACACGGCCTCCACCTCTCTCTCTACCCCCAGCTGTCCCCCCCCCCACCTCCCTCTCTCTACCCCCAGCTGCCCCCCCCCCCCCCCCCCCCCCCCCCCACTTCTCTCTCCCCCCAGCTCTCCCGTGGCCGGTAAAACAAAGTGCGCCCACTTCAAACATTGTCGTTTTATTGTACAAACAATTGGAATAATTAAAAATGTGATAACACGTGCAATTTTAGTGTGAGTGGTTTATTCAGCAGTGCTTTAGTCAAAGGTAAGTGTTGCATAGTGGATAGTCCTACCATGAAAAAATGTAACGCGTTATGACATGTCACACGTGTAAAATATTTTCGGAATAGCCCGCACCTCCGTATACCCCGCAGGGTCTTGTTTTGTTTGTAAAAAGTGGTATACCCCGCGGGTTATATATGGGAAAATACGGTATATGTGTTTAGCCTGTACTGTGTATACACTGCTGCAGTGTTCACAAGGCTACGTTTTATGTTAAACTAGCTTTACTGCCCGGCTTCGCCCGGGACTTGGATTCACCACGCCCGGCCGCCTTTGTCTCCCCAGTGGCGATGTTCACACACCACACCAATTAGTTGTTTGAGGCTGAGTCGACCTAGGGGAGGCCCAGGACCGGTTGAAATAATCTTCACCGGTGGTGGCCGTGAGGGTAATCGAACTCGGGTCGCCGGGTTCGTAGCGCGGCGCGCTAAGCACTACACTACAATGCGTTACGCTTCCACACAGACACACAGACAGACACATACACACACAGACACATACACAGCGCGCTAACCACTACACTACAATGCGTTACGCTTCCACATGCGAGGGTCACGTAACAGATTTGACGTCACAGCTTGCTTGCCGTGAAAATTTTTTATGCATTATTGAGCTCCCCCCCCCCAAAAAAAATGTATTTATAATGTTTGCATGGTGTACAGTCTGGAAAGTACCCACATGGCAAATTTTAAGTTTGCATGTCGTGAAGTACGCTAAACATTTTGAACAGACACACATAATCACAACTTTGCCTTTTTTATATATATGGAGATGACCTCTGAAGGTAGATGTAGACAATAGTGCATGCAGTGATTTT